TTTATAAAACAATTGAAAAACGAAAGTAAATGTTTCAGTTGTACTTAGCGATAAATTCTCTTGAAGATGTTGAATTCTAATATCAAAAGAGGGAAGGGAGTAACCACTGCATTTTTATTTTGTATGCAAAATTTGTTGATCTTAGTTTTCCAATTTTACACAACTCCGTATCTAGTTTTTTTGAATATTCAGTTACTAAAGAGTATCTTATTATGCCTTTTGCAGTGTTTTTCTGTCTCTCTATTTTTAAATAATAAAAAAGGAAAAACCTGGAGAAATTTGAGACCTCCTCGAATTGTAAAAATTGCATGATTAAAAAAAATATTTAATTAGTGAGCTGATTAAAATTAGCATTAAAATACCATTCTTTTTCGATAGAAAGGAGATGCCATAAAAGATGGTGATAATTTCTATTAAGTTTTATCCCCCTCGTCCTTAATTCTTGTACTTGTATAAAAGAAAAAAAAGCTAAGTACCATATTGTTGAAGTTAAATTTTTGGCTCTGAATTCAGCGATTAAAAAAATATTTCTCTGTTGAAATGAAACGGTTTTACTAAGATTATAAGTAGTTGGCATTTTATAACAAAGATAATTTGTAAAAACTAAAAAAAAAATCAAAAACCATACAAGCTTACCTAGATAATCAGTAAAATGTTATGGTAATAGCCGCCTGAAAGAAACTTGTGCGGTTTTAACTATTTGTTAAAAACCTTAGCTTCACATTTACTATTTCTCGTAACACACAAATGTAAAAACACCGCCTTATTCCCATTAAAAATATTTCTCCCAAGAAAAAAAAATTCACGTATTGAACAATTCTATGAATGGTGACTTATAAGCATCTTCTTATGTTCGATTTGGAACTTTTGTTAAAACCTTAAATCTTTTGGCAAATGATGATAATTGAATTGTTTCAATCATTGCAAAAAATTTCAAACTCTTTTTTCTTTGATGCAATTCTCGGTTTCCGAGTTTAATGTTTGATTTTTATGTTATTGGGAAAAAAAAGTCAGCTATTTTATGATGCCTTCTCCCCCACATTTATTAAGAGAAATAATTCTTTCAGAAATATTGTACCAAACGACTTTCCAGATAATTTTATATTGTAGAAGATCAACTTTAACATTTATTCAAAAATAATTTTGGGCGTTTTGTTTTGTTTAGAAAAAGAAAATCTATTTTGGAAATATTTTTATTTTTCAAATCTGTGATTTTGATGAGAGTTGTAATATTTATGATTGATAATTTTTTGATAAATAAAAATTGCAGATTGTTTCAATTCTAAGTATCGTTTGGTGAGAATCAAAACATTTTATTTTAGACTTGAAGCGATTATTTCAGCAAATACAATTCTCATTTCCTACGACTAATATATGCATAATTATCGTATTGTTGTAAATAAATCATTAAGTCTAAATCGGTTTAAACAAAGAAGTAGATTTTGTAAAAAAATTTTCCTGGATTCAAAATTTAATGTAAAACAATTTGAAAAAAGAAATCTTTATTTAACATGATATGGACTTTTATTTTGTGAACTTTTATCTATCAGTAGTTTTCAGCGAATAATTCTTTTCATGCTTTTTTTTTTTATCGAATAAATGTGTCACATAAGTCCTCTTCCAAATTTTAAAACCTAATTCAAATTATTTCACCGATACAATAATACAATAAATAGAAGAACCATTTTCAAACTTATAGTATTTCATAGTGATATCAAAACATATCACTTTTCCTCTGACTAAAATTAAACAACTGGAAATTTTTTTTATTGATTTCAAAAAGAAATGACAATCAATATGGTCGAAAACAGGTTTTCTCAGCATGTTTTCGCTTGATAATAACAGCCATGTTTGATAGACGGTTAATTATGCAAGGCTTTGGTGTATATTTTTCTTCTTTATGACGCCACACGGTATCTGAAATCCAATTGTAATATAGTTTATTTTTTAAGCAGCAATAGACAATGCTTGTTATGTATTTATTTAAAAATAACTTTTGAGTTCTGTATTTTAAGTTATAGTTATGTATTTATATAAAAAAAAACTTTTGAATTCTGTATTCGGCTTTCTAACTGAAGATGTTTTAATATAGAAGATATTCAATCGAATGTAAGAAATTTCACGTAAATTCCGATTTTTCTAAAAACATAGGAAAACTAATATTGCAATAACTTTTAGAATATTGCAAAACTTATTATTTTCTGCGCATATTGCAATAACTTATATGTCTATATCGTGACATTATATCGACGAAAGAAATTTTCGATTCATAATTTTGACTTCTATACTTCTGATATGATTTAAGAAAATTTTTGGGCGATCTCATAATTTTTTTGTGATTTGTTTTAAAAATAGTGCAAGTTCAAATATTTTTTTTCTACACTTTCTATAATTTTGAAGAAAAAAATTTAATTTATTTTAAAAGTTTTTTAATCGCGAGTTTTGAAATTGATTTGCATTAAGCTTGTAAATGTGTGCGAAAGATCAGAATGCTAAATTGAAATATCTCTTAATTAGAGATGTACTGATAGTAATTACTCGGATTCGCCAATTTCATCAGGTATTCAGTGCCGGGTAACACACATTTTTGTTTGACGATATTTGTAATTATAGTAACTTTTAAATCATTCATACTTGGAAGTTTTGGAAATTCAGGTATAAATTCAAGTATTAATAATCAAACTGAAATAACTGTTGAGGTACGACATAATTTACTTTTGTGCAGAACTTTTAATTCAGCAAAATCTTGGTTTAATGGTTAACTTTGGAACAGAGAAATATGCTCGTTAAAGAAAGGTATCTGCTGCAGAGGATAGACATGAAAATTTAAAATCTAAATGCTAAATACTATTTTTAATTAATACAAAATTTAAAAGAAAAGGATTTTTATTGACATTTTTAAAACTATTAAAGTCATGGATAAAATTCCAATATAACTGTAGAAAAATGTGTGATATATAAGTGCATTACTCTTATACTAAGTTTGCTTATGAAATAATATATTTTCATCAATTGGGTGTGAAGGCTTTGAAATTTATAGAAGTATAATCGGGAACAGAATATGAATATTTTCTTACGATTAACACATTATTTGAATGATATTACTATAGTTTAAACATCATTGAAGATTAATTTTGCTAGTAAATACAAGCACATATGAAAACGGAGATAACTGTTTTAACAAAATTTGATAAATAAATGTTTAGAGGTTGCTTTTATTTTAGAAACAATTTTTATTTTTTTATTTTTACATAAGTCAACAAAAAACTTATCAGTAAACATTTTATTAATTTTTCAGTATAAGTTGATTTACTATTAATATTAAAAAGAAGCATGTATTAACTAATATAAATTGGCCATAGGTAACTTTAAAATAATTTTTACCTAGAAAGCGCGTTTCCTACTCTATATAACTCAGTAAATTCAGTTTCCAACCATATGTGGTTTTTGACGTTTTTTATCCGTGTAATGCAATAGTTTCACAGATAAAGATTGTCATGAAAACAAATTTTCTCCTTTTTTGTTGCTTGATCTGAAAGTAAGTTTCTATTTTGAGGGGTTCAAAATTATGTGATAAAATTGTAACATTAACCCCCTGCAGGACCGGCTTGAATAGAAAGAAGCGCTTCCCTAGGCCCACACTCTCCGAATTAATATGTACTAAAAAGTACGTATAGGTACTAATACGAGTGTACGGTATTGAGATCATGTTGATACAAAGGGTCTTGAAAGGAGTATCGTATCGCTTCGATCACGGTTTTGAAAGGGTTAAGAACAGTAAAACTGCTATATCAATCTTCTATTCAACATCTATAATAATGTAATGAAGAGTTTATGTGTGTGCTCGAACTCCAGAACCGTTTGAGCTTTGGACAGTGGGTGAAAGGGGCAATTTCAGCTGTAATCGTTCAAAAATTTCAGTTACATCGTTCGGGAGTTTTTTCATAAACTTAGAACTCGCCATTGATAAAAATGAGACTGTTACAAGCGATTTGCTTTCGTTTGAATATTTTAAAAATTACATCAGTGATATTTACTAGCTTATAGCTTTCATTAAAATAAAAAGAATTTTTGAATGTTCTTTAATATTTAATTATATTTTACTCGTTAATGCCATATAAGCTCAATTATCAGCATGAACATAATAGCATTGACGGATTACGTTACCAAATTAGTATTTCTAAAGTTACTTGAATCCACACCTTCTTATTTTGTTTATAGTTATGCTTTTAAAACCTTAATCTTAAAACTAAATAATTAAAAATCTACAGTAATTGAAATGAAAAAATACTGTATTGAAAAGAAAATTATGCATTCTGTCTTTCTTGTTATCATAGAATTTGACACTGAGAGGGAAGAATCAACTAAAAAACAGTCATCTACAACAGGATATAGAGTTTACCGAGAAATTACAGAGCGCTCATAACAAATGGAACTAAAATGTACGAGCTTTGTACGAAATATATCATCACTAATAACAGCACAAAACCAACCAATCCAGAAGAGCGAACACAAATGTCGAACAACTGTCGAGGTTCAATCTTAAACAAACACAAATGTTTTTATATCAGCGTCGTTTATGAAAAATTATAAAAAGCTAAGTATTTTTTTATTTTAGAAACATTTTCTAGTTCTTTTTCGTACATTTTAGCTTTTATTTCTGATAATTTCGGTTAAGACTAATAAGGTTTAATAAGCATCCCGATTTAACAATCGAATTGTCACGCTCTCTAAGTTGTCACCATAAACGAGCTGTAATATAAATAAAAAATTTTTTTCTTAAAAAGACCAATTTTATAACTAAAACCCATAAATTCTATTCTTTAGATACCCATATAATTCTAGCATACAACATTTATTCTATTTAACTGTAAAATCATTCTATTATTTTTTTTATAAACATTAATCTATAAATTTTTCTGAAGTTAGCTTGAAATATCAACTGTTACATAATATATGTAGTAACAATTTGTAATGACTAAATTAATTATTATTTTCAGGTAATCGGAAACTACACCATGCGTATCGTGCGTTTACGACTGGGGATTTTAGTAGGGATTGTCTTTTTGATTTTCCTCATCTTCCAAGTGCGGCTATCAATATGGAATCATTCTTACGAGCAAATTCCTGTGAGCGACGAAGAGATGGAACTTGCTTGCCGACATCCTGAGTTAGAATTAGCAAACCCTCTGATACTGGCGTAAATATAATTTATATTTCTTAAAGATACAAATTTTGCTGGAAGGTGAACTAAAAATACCTTATTATAATGTGAAAACCTGTCATTAATTGAATAAAATATTAATATTTTTCTCATTTTAAAAATAGAATATTGAATTTGAAGGTACTTAATTTCTGTAACACAAAGGTTATTATCATGCTTTATCACAGTATAAAGTCTATAAACAAGAATGACACTACAAAGTTAGATTTTGTCTGGGAAAGATCTCATTTTAGTCTATACAACTCTACAACATTCATTTTAGTCAGTCAACTCTTTTAAAATATTAGTTGATAAAGATACTAAATTACATTACTTGAGTGTTTTAGAGTTGGTGGAAGAAGTTTCCAAATGCATTTGTTAATGAACAATTAACAAAGTAACATTACAAAGCCTTCCTTTTGAACAGCAAATGATAGGTCTATATAAATTTTTAATGTTACTTTGTTAATGAACAATTAACAAAGTAACATTACAAAGCCTTCCTTTTAAACAGCAAAAGATAGGTCTATATAAATTTTGCTAATTGGTAGCTTTTAAATCAGGAATAAAGCAAGCCATAGTCTTTATTTTCATTTGAAAACTTTAAAGCTAGTTTACTCAATATTACTGAAATCTCACTATTTTGAACCACTTAGCTCCCCAAATTTAACTTAATATTGTTTGAACAAACTAATTAGTGGCAGCCAGTGTTGTTAAAAGATAATAAATCTGAAAACAATGTAAATTGCTTATAGTATTGCTAAGTTATGCAAGTCTTACATTTTGCTAAGCAACACATAGTAAAACAGCATGTGAATTTACTCAATTGCATGCTCCATTCATTTACAAGCAACTAAGTTTTTCTATATCATTTGTTTTAGGGGCAGTGGCGTGCAGGGGACGGCACACGCTTCAGTGAAAATAACACCATGAGAATACAAGAGAAATATTTTTTTATTTAAAAGATATTTCTTAAAATTCACTTTATAAATAACAATCCTCAATTTAACTTGAAACATAATTATTGTAATAAAGAGTTATTTTCTCGTATTTTATATAAATTTCACTTCGTTGTGGTTAAGGAAGTATAATGTTTCAATTCAGTTTTTTTCTTAAATTCTTTCTATTGCCATTACGATTTTCATGATCTTAAAATAAAATTAATGACTATAAATTCCCAAATATCTTTTCACAGTAGCGTTTTTGTTTCATATTATTATAATCTTAAATTTTTGCAGTAAGTAATTGTAGGGATTTTTAATATATACAGAATAGCTATAAAGCTGGAGGGTAGTTTACCTGACTCTTTGTATGCCACTGTTTAAAAGTTAATGAACATAAATATTGATCAAACAATTCTCTAATTTGACTTTGCTTTATTTCCAGGCACATCCATGATGTTGGGGAATTGAAATGCAGCAAAGAAAGTGACTGGGTCTACATCGAAGGAAATCTTATTAAATTTAACCAAAGTATTGTAAAAAAAAGAGGCAAGATAAAGTGTGAATTGCATTATGTACTGAGAGTGGATGAATACAACACAGCCAAAAGTAAAGCAGTTCATCTCGCATCAGATACAGGTCGGGTTTTCCTAGAACATGACTTCTTTCACATAAAATGTAGCTCTCAGGATGGAAAACACTGGAAAAACTTGATGGCAGGCATTGCAAAAGACAAAGCAGCTGTAAAACGTGCTAAAGCAGCCAAACCACCTCCCAACTGGATGAATCTTAATGTTTTCATGTTTGGCTTGGATTCAATGTCCAGGCTTCATTTTATGCGCAAGTTGCCTAAAACTTACAAATACTTGACTGAAGTTTTAAAAGCTTCTGTTCTGAAAGGCTATAATATTGTTGGCGATGGGACACCACAGGCAATTATACCAATTCTGACAGGATTTGCAGAACCAGAACTTCCTGAAACAAGAAAAAGAATGAGCAATGCTCAGCATGTCAATGTTTATCCTTTTGCCTGGAAGAATTTCAGTGCAAATGGTTATGTTACTGCTTACGGAGAGGATGGACCATCCACTGGCACTTTTAACTACAGGTTGAAAGGATTCAAAGAACCTCCTACTGATCACTATTTGAGATCGTTTTATTTGGAAGTTGACAAGGTTTGGAAAGATCATGCTAAGTTTTGCCTGGGTGATAAGCCTCGGCATGTAGTAAGTTGAAATAAATTTTTTTAACATCTAAGAATTTACCCATGAGTTCTTAACTAGTTATATTGTTATGTTCAAAGGAAGTACTGCCGACCGGCCTGTGTAGGGGGCAGGGAACTGTCCTTGAATCAGAAAGGTCCTGGGTTCGAATCCCGGGCAAGGCATGGATGTTTCTTTCTCTCTCTCTCTGTGTTCTATGTCCTTTCTAATTTGTGTGTGTGAATGTGACCCGCCCTATAAACGAGATTGTGGTTGTGTGAATGGTGTGGCAGAAGTCGAATTTTTGGCCATAGATGGCGCCACTGAAAAGCAAGAACAATCGCACCCTCTCTGCCTAAACAGGCAAATTAATGCACTTTTTCTTCCAAACAATAACAAATGCTATGATAAAATTTTCAAAGTTTTACTTTCAATTATGTAGTTATTGATTTTAATTTAGAAGGAAATTAGATTTTTAAAATTAAAACTTTAGTTGTAAGAAATGTGAAGAAAAGAAAATATTAAATCATACTTTTCCACCCCCAAAATATAAGAAATCATTTCAATAAATATATACATTTAGTTAGTGTGAATTATGTGATTAACAAATTATTTGCATTGATAAAATGTTTTTCTTTGAAATTAAATTATATATGTAAAAGTGATTCTTTTAGCACTGCTTTACAAATGTCTATGCTAGAAGGGTTTGCAGTTGCATCGTTGGTTTTCTTAAATTAACTTAAGAAAGAACTGCCTATAAATTTTTATAAAAAGTACTTGGAATTACAGTTGAACTCATTTATTATAAGCCATGATTTCACGAAAAACTTTTTAATAAATTGTCAATTTAATATTTAAAAGTATATATAAAACTCAGTTGATAAAAGCCTAACTTGAAATAAATGAGGAATTTCATTCCCTTTTAAAGGATTTTAAGACATTCTTTTAGTTAAAAATATTTAAAGTAGGTTGGTAATAAATAGAGCCCGGATTTTAATGACCTAAAAAGTCTCAACTAATGCCCTTAAAAAGTGCAAAAAATGCTCTAAAAAGGCGATAATTGCGTTATGACATGACTTAAATAAAGTAAAAATATTGAACTAAAACAATGTTTTACTCTTTAAAATTATTTTGAGTCATTTAAAAAAATATAAAGTAATGCAGTACTTGTTCTACGTTCATTAAAGTTAGAAAAATATGTTTTATATTCTAAAATAACAGAAAAAAAGGATATTGACTCCAAAACATTTTCTAATTGTATAGAAACTTTAATGAATATAACAACTTCCATCTCATAATATTACTAAATATCAGAATTACATTGGATTATTAAATGTTTTTTGATATTTTGAAATGTAAATGAGCAACTGTTGTCTGAAGGTAAATTTTTATTCCTGGAGAAGAAAATTTCCTAGAAAATTGTAATGTTCTAAATACAAATCTGAGAAAATGGGAAAGCTGTAACAAAGAATTACTTCTAAAGATTTTATGTCAATCAATAACATAATGGCATGCAGGTAGTATTGAGAGTTACAATATGAAATGTAAAATTATAAGACAAATATTGCATTTCATGTAATAAAAATGCCCCTAAAAAGTAATGAAAATTGGAAAAAACAAAACAAAAACTTAAAAAATGCTTTAAAATGCAAAATACGCTCCAAAATTTATGAAAAAATGCCAATGTCATCACAATCCGGGCCTTAGTAATTAAGAAAAATAATGCTAAGTCTCTCGTATTCTCTGCCATGAATCACACAACCAGTTGAAGGAAAAGGGTTAGAGTTCAATAATGGTTGTTAAAACTGTTTGGTAGTAACAGAAATTTTTGTAATTTAAACCATCGAAAATTTCTTATAGCTCTTGCTGTTTCTATTGAAGTTACTGCATACAGAGGCTCCTGCCAGATGTTTGCAAAACTTAGAATCTAACAATAAATGAGGAAAAGCAATCGAACCTCCATCATCCACTTTTTAAGACATTTGAGTTAGCTGGGAAATCACTAACTATTCTAAAAGACAGTTATATATGTATGTATTTTGTGTACAGCAAAAAATTGGCAACAAAAATCTCATATTCTTTTCCTTTAAGCTGTTAAATGCTTCCTCATTGATTTTTGTAGCTTTTATTTTTAATAGTTTAGGTTTGCAATTAAAAAGCAATTTAATTTAAGGAGCAAAAAGCCCTTGTCTCTGTATTCTCCTTATGAATTTATTCCACTGTATAAATTTATTAATCTTAACTTTAGACTAATTTTTTCTCAAAAAGTATCTTGATCCCATTATAATATAAAAAAAGTATTATAATATAGTAATGCAGTATAGTAATATAACATATATATTCTTAAAAAAAATGAGAAAGAGAAGTAGAAATTTTAATACAAATAATGCATTTTTCATTTGTAAAACTGTTTTATAACTGAGTGAACATGTAATATCTAAGCATTCTTTACAAAACAAATTATTTTACAACAAGAGTGCATATATTGAAACCTAATATTTAAAATAAATTTCACAGAACAGGTAATAAGTTTTTGAAATTATTGTAAGTAGTATATGTTCATTCATTCATTTAAGAAAAAGAAATATTCAAACTTATTAAAAAATTTTGTCAAAAATTGACTTTTTTTTTGAGTTCATTTATAAATTAATTTTTGGGAAATTCCATTCTAGATTATGACGCAGTGGCTAAAAACTTTTTACGATACTTACACTGAGGTTCCAAAATTTGGATTTGTGTTTCATTCTGAACTAAGCCACGATGACTATAATTTGGTCCAGCATGCTGATGGAGATTTGGAATATTTCCTGAAAGGGTTACAATCAAGTGGAATCCTTAACAGTTCTTTGTTAATAGTGTTCACTGATCATGGGAACAGGTACTAAAATATTTTATTCATTATTATTATTTTCTGATGAATGAAAATTCTAATAATGTTTGTAAATTATTCAAACTTTATTCTATAGGAACAGGAGCTAAATATTTTGAAATCATTTTGGCATGATCTCTAATGTATATTCCATAAATTTTAAAGTTAATAAAAAAATTCAAAGGGCATATGCCAATCCCTTTTCATTGCATCCCTAGCTAAATTGAAATTATTTCCATAATTATCTCAAAATTAGAGTGAGCCTGCTTGGGGTTAATATGTATTTCTTTATATTGTAATCCAAATAGTATTGGCTAAAACACAGGGCTCGAAAAACCTCCCGTCCGCCCGTCCTCGGCGGTCAAAAATTCCCCGCGGACAACGAATTTCTCGAGTTCTACGTCTGCGCGGACGGCCATTTTCCCGTTAATGTTGGTGATACATTTTCAATTTTTGTTATCTTACAAAAGTCTAGCGCCTCACTTCTAAAATGACCCTCTAATCTAGAAATATAGCAACATACCGCACATGGTGGAATTGATGTTTTCTCTGTCTCCCATACTGCAGCGGTTGAAAGGGACTTTTCAGCAATAAACTTACAAAAAAAAAAACATTACGTACAAGAAGCGTTAAACGCAATTATGAACATCTACCTAAATGGAAAACCCCTTTCAGAATTTTGTGCAGAAACCTCTGTAAATCACTAGCTTGATTGTGGAACTGGCAAACGTCATATTTGATTCATTTAAAAAACGCAGTACCCTCGGATAAATTGACATTTGTCATTTAAATTATTTCATAAAAGAAATAAATTACTTCATAAAAGAAATACTAGGTTCCTATTAGTAACCTAGTATTCCTTTTATTACTGTATAATGCAATCCTAGTAACAATTCATTGTGCAATTTATATAAATGTTTGTAATAAATAAGAGAAAATTATATTTTTATTTATTTAGAAGCGACGGGTTAGTTTCAAAGGAGGACGAGTACATTGTTGGACAAGCCGTCCTCGGGGACGGGTAAAAGTTATGAGTTTTTTCGAGCCCTGCTAAAACATAAAACTTTTAGTCTCCTTTTTTTTTCCACACATTCTAACAAAACTTATTTTTCTTTGTTTACAAGTGTATAAAACATATGAATAGTCTGCTTTTCTTCATGGTTTGACATTAAATATTTAATTATAATAAATGTTTGTTTCGTATGCTAAATTTATTTTTATGCTTTTGTGTAAAAGATAATTTTTTTTTCTCACTATCCTTACATAGTTGTCAACTCTACTGAATTTAGTTCCTCATTGTTTTAATGTAAAATTCTTCTGATTTTTGAAAATGATTAAATTTATATTTTTTTCTTCATAAAATCAACTGGATGTTTTTTCTCTTTTTGTTTGCAGCTATGTCCTTTTTCGACATTTTTTTTTTAACTGAATAAACACTATCAGGGTGCGTAGCATTTTTTAAAAGTGCTTATTTTTGATTTACATTTTTCAAAAGCAATTAAAGGTGCCTTTTTTATTCAGGGTTTGTCAAAAGTGCTTAATTTTCTATCTTTCAAAAAGATATTTTTTCTCTGTGGTGTCGTTCTAAATTACAAAAAATGAGTGATTTTCAAGATTTTCTCGGCAATATTAATCAGAAATTATTTACTTAATCATGAGTAGGTAAAATTTTTGAAAATTGTTTTTGAATTTTTTGTTTATAAATTAAGAACTTTAAACGATAAGAAATTTTTTTTATTACTGCAGAGATCCTAATTATGATTTTTTTTGGGGGAAGTGATTAAAAATATTTTGTGAGTGCTTAAAAAGTACTTATTTTTTATTGAAAAATCTGGCTATGCACCCTGACAATGGTTGTTTAGTATAATTGTTTAGAAAAACTGTAAACATGAATGCCATTCTTTATTTGGGTTTAAGTTTGTTTTAAGCTCTTCCGAGATACTGCATAAAATTATGTACTAAGTGATCTAATCTTGACTGCAGGTTTTCTGCCATTCGTGAAACCCAGCAAGGAAAACAAGAAGAGAGACTTCCATTCTTCTCCATAACTGTACCATCATGGGTTGAGAAGCAATACCCAAAAATGGTTAAGAATCTAAAGATTAACGAAAACAGATTAGTAACTCCTTTTGATATTTATTCTACGTTGATGACTATTCTTGATCCAGATATACCAGAAGAAGGCGATATTTCCAGCAGGAGCATAAGTGTCTTTTCTGAAATTCCACAAGAAGTGAGTTCTTTTTATGTTTTATTAAAACGCAGAATATCACTCTTATAACCAGCTGTGTGCACACTAGTAAAAATAAATTAAATTTGCTATAATTTTTAAATTCAAAGATAAGAATTACAAGTGACAACAATGATTGATTGTTTAGAGTAATTAAAATTAATTTATCATTAACAGGCATGAAATTAAGAAAGAAACAAATAAAACAAAAATGCCTGTAAATACCTATAAACTCAAATAATAATTAATAAATAAAAAAAAAGCCTGTAAAACTGTTTTACACTAAAAGAGCACATTTAAATTAATTACATACTTATTTCAAGTTTAGAAAGTATAAAAAATTGCCTGCATTAACAATCAATTATACATCAGAAAACAAAGTTACACAATTTGTAATCATGTCTTGACTGAAAAAAAAGGTTGTATTTTATGAAAATGTATGTTCTTTTTAACTTAAGGAATCCATTTTAAACAAATTTCTAAGTTAAGTTTTAGCTAGGGCAATTTTTTAAAACATAATTTTACTTCACTCTTTTTTTTAAGTGATCAAACCCCTGAGCAAGATGTTTCAGAAATTTTTCTGCCACACTCTTACTATGAGGAAAAACAACTTTTATAAGGAGGGAAACAGTTTTGTGAAGGCTTTAGTTTAAAGTTTGGAAAAAGACTGGACTTGTTTATACAAGGCCTGATAATCTACTATGGAAAATTCATAAAAGTATGTTTCAATAGAGGATAGGCAAAATCCATCCAATGAGGTGACACAGGCTTAAATCCCAGCAGTGGTTGGTTAATATTGTGGTCTATCGTTGTTGGTAATCTGTGGTTCCAGCTCGCACTGTCACCACAGAGCTGGCGTTAAACATCCTCAGTGGTAGACGGATTATGGGTTAGTTCCATCAAAAAATTCTCCACGAAAGGTAGTTAGTTCAAATGCTTAAACCAGGAGTTCCCTTGTCTTCTGGGTTGGATTCAAAATTATAAGACAACTGAGTTGAACATTATTAACTTAGAATTGGGTCAGCTGTTAACGCCGGTTATAAATAAAAATTTAATGCTTTAAAAAGTCAATGTTTTACAATGTGACCCTCACATTGTTAGAAAAACCCTCATTTCCTACTGCATTTTTTTTTTTCTGTAGCTTGATCTGAAACATCCATTGCCATTCAAATGAAATATTTTTATTTCAAGATGATATACTTCTAGAATTGGTTTTTAAACTTAATTCTATTTTTTTTAAAATTATATCAGGACATATTATATATTTTTTTTATTTCAATTATATTATTCAATTATATAAATTGATGTAATTTTTTCATATCTATTAAAAAAATTTATATCAATTTTTTTTATATAAATTTTATTTGAACCTTTGATTTTTACATGGTGAAACACTCACCCATCTAGAATTAAAAAGGAGAAAAATTATCCCTCAAACCTCAGTTTTCTGATACGAGAGCGAGGGAATTGGTCTGAACAATATAAATAAAGTGTGAACATTTGGATGCAGTAAAAATGTAAATATCAAAACCTCAGTGGGTTAATTAATATGTGTTAATTGTGATTTTGTTACTTTTATCAATGCTTCTTTAAAAACCATAAAAAATTTTTCTCTCTCCAGAGAACTTGTTCTATGGCAAACATAGAACCCCATTGGTGTGCCTGTTTATCATGGGTGAGAGTATCCTTAGAAGATCCTGTCGTGAATGAAGTGGGAAAGGCAGTTATAGATTACATGAACAAACTCACCGAAGTGCAGCGTGACAAGTGTGAGATTCTTCACCTAAAAGAAGTAACACGCATCGAAAAATTACAACCCAACAAAGCACTTTTGAAATTTAAAAAGAATGCTGACAAAGATGGCTTTGTTGGCGAGTTTTCTGATGACACAAAACTGACTGAAGTAGTCTATCAAGTGCAGCTACGTGCATCACCAAGCAATGGCATATTTGAAGCCTCTCTGATGCACAGCAAAACGAAAAACTTATTCTCAATTAAAGAACACGAACTAAGCCGGATAAATATGTATGGTAACCAAGAACATTGTATACATGACACATATCCAGAACTAAGAAAGTATTGTTACTGTAAAGTTCAACTATGATGAAACTTAAATCAGTAGCTGACATTTCAAAGGAACAATTTCTAAGTGTTTTATTTATTTTTTTTTGGCCCTCCAACTCCCTTGCCCCCCAATGTGTGATAAAATTATTGGGGTTATTTGTTCAATGTCTTTCACTTGATTGTACTTAAATTTTTATACCCACTTAATTTAAAATTCAAATTGCTTATTCTCAAAAATAAGGTTTCATCTCTACTTTATTGAAATAGGAAGGGAGTTAATATTTTGAAATTTTTTATTGTTGTAACATAAAGTGCTGTTATTCAAACTTCTTATTATTCTACATCCCTGTTTTTTTTTACCCTGTTATGTGTTAGAGTAGTAAGAGTTTAATTTATGGAACTCTTTATAATTGATGATGTATATTTTATGGTAATATTCTTATTAATATGAAGCAATGTTTCCCAGTTTTTTTTTTAAAAATTTGACGTTAAATTCTTTTATCTTGAAAGCTATGATAAGTTTCGCATTATAATCATAATAATACAAAGTTAATCTTAGAGCAAAAAACGAAAGACAAATAACAATTTTAAATTTGCATATTTTCTAACAAAAGAATGACGGCTTTCTGTTTGGAAACGTGGCTCACTAGTGAGGGAACACAGGATTTAAATATAAACTCATTCATTCATGATACAATTGGTAGATTTATTTATTTTAATATATTTTTTATTAATCTTTTAGTTAATTTTTTAGCTTTCTTGATACTTAAACACAAAATTCATGCCCACCTAGTCATTTTATTTAAAAATTTAAATTTTTTTTTCTTGTCATATTTTACTTTTTTCTCTATATTTCAAGAGAGAAAAATGAAGTCATAATTGCCATATTTGCTTCAACTGCTTATGTTTTTGTTGAAACATTTAAGTTTTTTGTTCTTAAATATTATCACATAAAAGTTCTTTAAAAAACTGTAATTTGCTTCTTACAATCTTGTAATTTGCTTATAATTAGCATCCGGAATATGAAATATATTCAACTTTTGGTTCATTTCAGTATTAAACTTGTACTTATGCATTGTACTGAGTATATGAAATGTATGAGCTTGTTAAGCAGTATTACTATGGTACTTATCAATGTTAAAATATTACTTAAGATGCTAATAAGAAATTTAATTTTTCTTGATTTAGATCATTAGATCATAGTTAATACACAAAAGTTAAGAAAAGGAATGGTAAAATCATATACCAATAAACTAAAATATTTATTTATCAACAAATGCAAAATATCTTTTATCACATCAACCAGACTCAGAAAATCATAAAGAAAAGAAAGAGCTAAGCTATATTTTTGTAAATATAAAAAAAAATATATCAATTTATTATTAAAATCATTGGTTTAAAATTCTAAGTAGCAAATCTGAATATATTTTAGTTTAAATATATATAAAATATTTTATGAATATATTTTAGTATCCCATTTGAAGAGCTGTATGGATGGAGGTTCTAAATGAAAATATTGGTAAATTACCTTTAAAGATTATATATTGGTAATAGACTGTCTTGCTTTTATTTATAATCTGTAATTTCTGGTCAAGCTTTTATCAGATCTGGCAAAATTTATAAATGCTTAGAGTTATAACAGTTTTTATTTGTTGCTTTAAGATAGGTTTCTATATATTTACATGTTACCAAATACATTTGGAACCTTTTTTCAGTTCGAAAATACCCAAATTATACCTTCATCCACTGAAATCTGTGACTTGTTAATGTTATAAGGTTAAATGAGACCAAAATAAGCTCTTTTTGCGAGAAACCTTAATTTTTCGAAAATATGACTTAAAACCTTCATCCTCTAAGCTCTCAATTTATTCAAGAATTTATTTATTCATCCTCTAAGCTCTTATTTAACAACTGATCAATTAGTTTATACTTAAAGAAACTTTTATGCTCATTATTAAAGCTTGTAAATAATTGGGCAGTATATTTAAATAAGGCAGCTGCTGTAAAAATTATTGAATTTTATACATTTTCACTCTGCATTGTAAACTTTAATCCATTATAACGCTATTTGTCTAGTACTTTATTAAGTTATTCACAACCAGTTTTTTTTTTCATTTTTTTAAAAACTTGAACATTAGCATTGTTTTTTTTAATTGTTTTTTTTTACCATTTAAGTACTTTAGTTTTTAACAGCATTATCTTAGCCATATTTAATGTAGTTATGTTTTTGTTGTACATTAAAGTTTCATGTTGTTTAGTCTTTCTTTCTTTACATTTCTTTCATGTATCACCAACTTCTATAACACAAGTTTATAGATATCATTTCAAAACCTATTCCGCTTTTATAATTTCAATTAAGAGAAAAAAATACTTCATTACCTTCAACTTAATGTAAATCTCAATGGCTTTTAAAGCCATGAACATATTTTTGATCACCAAAAATTGAACTTATTAACTAACTTTTCTTGAAATATTTTATAAAAAATTTTTTGGAGTGGTAATAAGAAAGAGATTTGCTATTTTAAAAAAAGTTGCTAGAATCATCTATTCCTAAAGAAGCAGTTGTGTGCAAAAATAAGATCTGCCTATTTAATTAAAAAAGAAAGCTTGCTGTGTACAACAATGTTGCAATGTTACAAAATTGAAAAGGAAATAATTCATATAGTAACTCAGAGCCTTTCAAGAATGGTGGAATAAAAACTTTTGAGCTTATTTTTAACAGTAATACAGTTGAAGATCTTAATAATGCCATCCTTAAAACGAGAGTGTTTGTATTTCGTAAAATTTTGAGTTCACACACCATTAAACTACCTATTGAACATGGCAACAGTAGTCTGGAACAGATGAATATATTGATACTTTAAAATAATTTTAATAACAAAAAGTTTAAAACATAAAAATATGTACTTGAGTATTTATTATTGCAGATAAAAAATGAAAATTATCACAAGCTTTAGTACCAGCAGCTTTATCAATTATGGTTTGCTTATGAGGTTGCAAGGTTAGTGCAGTTTTAGGAGAATTTCATTATACAAACTTAATTATTATAGTTATCTTTTTCACTACCTGGTTTTCAATTACTCACTTTAAGTTTTGAAAAAACAAAGATTCAGCTGACAAGGATAAGTGAAATAAATCCATGGAAGATGAAATTCAGATGATGAAAAATCATCGGAAGCAGATGGGTGTATAGATTATTCTGGGATTCAAAGATTTATTCTGGGTGTGGACTAAAATTTTGGTTCAAATTTTTGAATGCTTTAAACAGTTAATTAAACACACCAAAAAAATGAACATTGATTTACATTCTACATAACAGTGAACAATTTTCAGATGAATATTGCATAATGGTAACCATATTTTAATGTAAAAGGGTTGAAAATAAAATTAAAAATTTTGATTAGCTAGCAGGTATAAAAAATGAACTAACAGATTGAAAATGGGAAATCACATTTAACAAGCTAATTTAATTAACTGCATGACACAATGACTGTTTTAATATGCACAACATCTGTTTTATGCTTATTCTTTGAACTTGACAATAGTTCACAAAAATGTAAAGAATGATTTGAGTTATTTTATAATTTAAAATTTTAGGAGCAAAACAAGTAGAATTCAATCAATTTTAATGCAGCTAAATTTGTATAAATTTATTTCAATACAGAAAAAGAATTATTGTGATAATAAAATTTTTTCAATTTTTTTTATCTCTTTTTATATAAATAGATTCCTTAATATCCCTATTGGCCCTATAATAACCCTATTGGCTTTTGTTCAGTATTATTTGTTTTCGCTTTTCTTTTGATCTTTGCCAGTTATAGTTAGATTTTATAAGCTATTTTGCGAGTTCTGTACAGTTCGGATGCATTTGGCTCTTGGGCCATAAAAGTATTAATTTAATTCATGACAGTGAAAAGTTTGTATCTTATCTAAAAAAATATTAAATAGCTTTGTAAAAGTTAATTATATAAAATAACATAAATAGCTTTTATATAATATTTGATATACTTAAACTGTTTTTGAAAAAAGTAACTTCAACAAAATGGTTTGTCTGAATTATTTTCAGTTTAATTCTTTTAATCAGGATCATATTATGTAATTTGCATGGTTGGATATACTTAAAAACATATGGAAAACAAATTTTTTTCTTTAATTAGTTATTTGAGTTTAAATAAATAAAATTTTGAATTTAAATAATTTTAAAATTAGATTTAGGGCATAGTAAAACTTCAAAAATGTGATCTATTATTTCATATGTGGATTATAATATTTTATATAATATAGATATCCAAAGAAAAAGTTGTAGATTATTGTTATGTCAGGAAAAAAAAAAAAAGGTAGAAGTACAGCCTCTCTGTTATTCCCAACAACTTTTGTGAATACTGTTTATGCTATTTAATAAATGTTAAGATGCACGAATTAATGTAAAAGATGTTATAGAGTGTGGCAGTTTAGTTCCAGAAAAATAAATAAAATAAAATGATGAACAAAATAAAATTACATGCATTAGTACAATGCTCTAAATTTCAATTCTCAGATAGGAATAATGAAATAATTGTATAAATTTAAAAGACAAAATAGACCATTTCACAACTGACTTTTGAAAAATTAGAAGCTAAAAACGAAGTGAAAGTTGAAGATGCTTCTTTCTCAATTGTAATACTACCTCAGAAGAAACATTTGAATAGTAAAAAGTAATTATTTTAAGTACGTTTTTGACCTTTACAACAAAATATTACATTTACTTCTAAGATCTACCTTAATTTTTGAAGAACATACCTTCTAATTTAAGAAAGAATTGAATAATCATGTTTTATACATTAAAAAAAATATATATATTAACTACATCCACTGGCACTGACTGTTTTTTTTATGTAAGTTGAAGGAGTACCTAGCTATTATATTTAGTGTTAAAGTATATAAAATTTTATTTATTTTAAGTAGCATAAATGTGAAATTTCCTGAGAAAAGAAAGTTATTCACTTCCAAAATTAAAGTTTTAGAACAATTATAATTTTACTGGGGAAACTAGGTTCCAGTCAATTATGAATTTTTTACACTCACTTTCAATTTAAGAAACAATCAAATCATTAAGTTACACATCTTTGACATTAAATGTATTGACTCAAGCCAAATGAATGTTCTTCGACAGAAGATAAAAAATTTATTTTTACATTCTGAAAGTTAGTAATTTTTTTTTTTGAAAAAAAGGTGAGAATTTAATTTTATAAGCATAGTGTTAAAAAATTTTATGTAAAATGAAATCAAATAATGAATGTTTTATGTATTACTGGCAATAAAATACTGGTTACCGAAATTAAAGTTTGAAACTAACCGTCAATTTATTTTATTACAGTTATTGGGGAAAAAAGAAGGATTAAACAGACCTAGGACAGCAATTAATGATTTTCTGAAAAAACCTACAAAATATCTAAATAAAAGTGAAGGAAACATTGAAAAAAAAAACATTCTGTTTATCTCAATGCTCCAAAATTCTTTATAAGATAATTGTGGTTAAATTTCATCAGGATTTCTAATAAACGATGTAATAATTCATTCCAATGAATTAGTTTAAAAAAAATTTGTAAATTATGAAATTGTATGTTAATTATCATCAATTAAAAAACATTGAGAGAAAAATAGAAAAAACTGTTTGTAAAGTTAATGACTAACTTGACTATAACAAAAATGGAAAAAGCAATGCATGGTTTAAGGTCTACGTATCAAAATATAGTAAATGACTGATCGTCTAACATTCAATTAACCATAAAATCAAGAACAGTTTTCCAAGTTTTCTCAGCATAGTTGTCTGTAAATGACTACAAAATTTTAAATGAAATTTGAGATAATTTATTATCAATTTTTACATCCAATTATCCGATTTACTAAATTCTATGTATTATGAAAAAATATACCTAAAATATCAGCGTATTGTAGTAAATCTTCCACTGGGATTAAAGATGAACTTACAGTAATCAGATCTAAAACAGATAAAGTCAGTCATTCGATGCATTTATTTTAAAATAAAATCAAACAAATTCTACCAAAATAAATAAAATTTTTCAATTTGATCAAACTAATAATAAAATTACTACATTATGTTCTTAATGTATTACAACTATGTTTCCTTTAAATATCTTCCCTGTGTTTTATAAATTGCTAAAATTTTGAAAGATCCATTGTCAAGATTGAAGTTACTTTATTTTCAAACTTAAAAAGATATAATATTTTACTTTTTTAGATGCATAACATTTTAAAGAAATAAAATAAAGGAATTCTTTATATAATAAATAATATAAAGAAATTTTCTTTACTTAAAATACTGCTATAGTATTATTTAATAATAATAATCAGTGGATGGGCTGACAAATATATAACAGCAAATGATGAACCACTCTTACTGGAAAAGAAATAAATTCATTCTAACTATAAAATATCATGTCTTTGGCTACCTTAAATAACTATTATTTTTTTAATGCTGCTATTTTGAAATATTTTTTTCATAATTATACTTCTATTTATATATATATAAAGATTTAAATTTTACTATTTATGCTATATGACTAATTAAATCAATCATTACATACTCAAAATTCAAAATAAATTTACTTTAATATTTAAAATACTACAATTAGTTAGTAAAAAAAAATTTTTCATGAATTGTATATTAAATGAAATTATTTTAAAATTGATTCCTATTTATATTAATAAAACAACCAAATTTTATTGAAAATAAGGCTATATTTAATAGTGAAAATATAATTTTATTATAAATTAGATAAATATTAAAAATTTTTAATGTGTAATACATAAATGAAACTGTAGAGTCGTATAAAATGTATCAGTTAATTTCATTTGCAAAAAAATTGGTTTTGTTTTTATTATTCGCTCAAATAGTTTATTATTTAGCCAAACTAATCATTTATTTGGCTAATTACAGATTAGTAGAAAATATTTGTTGTATACATAATGAGTATAAATTTGAAAAATTTTAAAATATGTACTTCAAAAAAAAATATTAATATTAATAAAATAAGGATTTTCAATGAAAAATTACTACAAATAATTAAAATATGCTTAAGAGAATGCTGCTTTAATAAAAAAAACAAATAGATAATTTTGGTACATAATTTTCCCTAAGAAAACTAAAAATACTCACACAATTCTTTTGGCAATAATAATAAAAAAAAACTATGGTTTTAGAAAAACTTAACTGAAAAAACTAATTACAAAGATTCTACCTTAACAAAATTTAAGTAGTAATTATATTAACTATATTTGTTATAGTTTACATAAGCTAGGATAGAAATATTTAATTATAAGAAGAATTTTTAGAGCAATTGCATTTACCTTAGCAACGATGAAATTCACAGTGTTGTGCTTTCAAGAAAAAACCGACTTCTTCCATTTTAAAGATAGAAAAAAAGGAGAAATGAAAGAAATTAAAAATGATCAAAATAGTTTTAAATTAAAACTATTAAAAGAAAAGTTTTTATAATTATTTAAGTATCTATTTTCATATTAGTATTTATTTTAGTACATATTATAAAGAATTTTAAAATCTGTGCAACTTATTACAGATATTTATTTTGAATTCATATTTATGTTGTTCTTATTTTCCTATATAAATATGTACACTTACAGCTAGAAAAATTACATGTATTTATATTATTTTTAGCTTATTGAATATCCAGTTTAAATATAAGAATTATTTAAAGAAAAAAAATTAATGAGTAAAATATTAATTAAAAAAATATTATGTTGTTAAAATTTTTCTCAAGTGATAAAATTTTTATTGCAATTTTTTTCAATACTGATGCATTTTTTATTCATTTTAGATATTAAGTTTGTATATAATTAATTTTCTTAGTTTAAAAAATTATACTATTTGACAATAATTTCGTTAAATTATAAATTTCTCCTTAAAATTAAAACAGTAATAATTCTTAATCAGAATAAAACTATCAAAATGTATACATAAAAAAAAACTTTATAACAACATGTTACACCATTGAAAATTTACAAGCTTTTTTTAATGATATATTATGTTATGATCAAAATTTTTTTTAAATTGTGCATATAATTAATCATTGTATAATTAATAAAAAAAAAGTAAATTAGTAAGTCTCAAAGAAGCAAAATATTTACATCTAGGGCCTGAGCACAAAATAAATCTAAGTCAAGTCTTATCAGGGTCTACGCTCAAATTAGGAGAATAAAAATAAAAACTTTTAAGCATGGCATTATGAAAAATTTCATAACAGTAAAAAGAGCTAAATAAAATATTACATATGAAGGATTTGGTGCAATAAAATGATAAGCCACATTGTCAATTGTTTTCAAAAAAGTACCTTTGGTGAAAAACACAGTGATTTCCATATGGGCAATAAAAATATTCTGTGTAATATAATTCAAAAACTTGTAATGTGCCAAACTGTAAACAATATTAACGATATTTTGATATAAAATATCAAAATTTAAAAAGCATGGCATTTCACAATATTGCTGAAAATCCTTCATAGAAAAAAAAAACTTTTTAACATCAAAAAGTTTGATATAAAAACAAAATAAGGAAATTTTTAATAAAGCAAAAAATGTAATTTTTATTTATAAATAGAGAAATATGTTACAAGCAAAGAAAAAAAGTGTATGTCTTATAAGATCTCCACAACAAATAAATACATGTACTCAATTAAAAGTAAATTATTACTCAGAATGTTAGAATCTTTTCTTATAGTGAACAAAATAAATGAATAAAACACCTTAATAAGCCTTTTTTGTGAATTCCTTGGAATATCTACAATATGTAGATAACTATAAGTTACATAATTATTTAACCTCCTTAATCACAAATTAAGCATTTTTATTTATTTACCTTTTAGTAAGCAAAATTAAATGAGAATTTAATGTATTAAAATAGAATATAATATTTAGTGACTAAGCTTGCAGTAATAAAAACCAAGTTTCTCAGCATATGCTATTTAATTCTTGACTTTTAAATGTAAAATATCCATTAAGCCTGCATTTTTATTTCAAATGACATTTTCTCCTTTTATTTAGATTTGAATAAACGATGATTGTTCAACATCTTTTATATAATGAACTTAATATAACATTAAACTTTTAGAATAATAGTTTTTAAAAACATAATAGAAGTGAATTTTCGTGACACATAAAATGGAAATGAGTTTTGTTGCACGCAGAAAAGTAAAAGTTGGCATATTCACATCCCTAATATGTTATTTATGCCTGCACGTATCTTGAGGGGTGAAAAAAGATCAGTTTTGCTTTATTAAAGTTTTTGATAATTGATTTAAGAATATTTTATCCTATTTTTCTTTTACAGTATCATAGATACATTGTTAGCCGTCATTTAAAAAGGGGTAAGTAAATGGAATTTGGTTAAAAGTTAAAATACATCTGAGAAAATTGAATTCTCTAGTGTGAATCTGAATAAATAGCAAGTCAACTGAAAAGATTTTATTTTGGTTTACTCACTTTTAGTAACAAACTAATAATAAAATTACAAATCATTTTCTAAAACAGCATCAGAACAGTGAAAGGTAAAAGCATTAGATTATGCATGTCAGCAACAATTCAAAAACTAGCTACATAAAAATAAATAACTTAACACAAAAATAAATAATTAAATATATAATAAAAACATTACATTAATAAATGTGGCATCTAATAGGATATAATAACATTATGACTTTATTTTTCAAAGCTGACAACTTTTAATGAAGATTTTTCCCACAGAAGCTGTCCTAAAGCAAGAATTTTAATGTAAAAAGATTTAAATTAAATCTATTAAGCCACAAATTAAATTATAGGACAAATTAATTTTACAAAAAGTGTAAAAGTTGGTAGGTACGTAATTATATATTGAAATCAAAGTAAACATTCCACGCTTTTCAAAATATTATACTGTTTTCCACTGTTGCACAAGGTTAAAATATTTGGAAAATATTAACTTTTTGTCCACCTCTAGAAGAACGTTTCAATTTTAACACCTGGATAACCAGTTTGGTATATTTTATTAAGTTTTGCCGTCTCTGCAAACAGATATTTCTAGCTAAAGAGGGTATTGTTTTGTAACATGATATTAGTATTGAATGTAAATCTCCATTCAATAATGCGAGAAGTGATTGTTGACAATATAAAGCAATTCGATTACAAAGTCATTGAACTTTAAAATCTGGTTAAGAAAAAGTGTTATAACACATTCATGATTCGTGTGATATTATGGGAAAAATGCTTCAAAGTAAATTATTAGTAAAGTTTTTCAGATAAATATAAATTAATACTGTACATAAAAATAAATATGAATTATTCGTTCAAAAAAAATCAGTCAACAAATTATGTATGTCTTATAAATTACGAAATTTAAACAATATTACACAATAAATTGAAATAGCTTTTGAATCAGTTACATAGAAAAAAGAAGTCATAACTTACAAGAAATACAAATACATGTTGAATCACATGATCTGTGCCAAAAAACCATCTTATTTGGAAACTCACATTATTCTAAGCACTGATTAAAGTTTACTAGCATTGCCATCTTTCTACAAAACAAAGTTCAAAGCCTATTTTAGAAAACTCATTATTTACAATGTAATAAATACTTATGAAAAATTAATACTTTAAGTCGACAAAATTAAATTACAAAGATAGGTTGAAAACTAATGCACATATGCTTGAAGAGAGCAGAAAAATTATCTTAATTAACAGACATGTGGAAGTAATATTTTCTCTTTATATGCATACACCCTGAGGCAGAATTTTTGTGGGACTTTCTGCAACAAACCTTTCTAGCACTATTATCTTTCTGCAAGATATTTTTAATAAATACAAATATACATGTTATTAATTAAATTTATAGTAACATAAACGTTGTATTTACAAAAAAAAACCTATTAGGATATATAATAAAATTTTAGGTATTTTTTTTAAAAGTATAAGTAATATTTTTATTCAAATATCATGGGAGATATCCTCACATTTTGTAAAAGGAAAACACACTAATTATTTCTTTTTCTAAATTTTGTAAATCATCATATAAAAAAATAAATAATTACTAATCGTAAAATCCGTGAAAGAAAAGATAACCAAAATTCTTTCATTTTTATTTTTCTCAAATAAGAATAAAAACAATCACGAGCACTTCTTCCCCTCTGATGAGTGAAAAAGGCATCTTTTGAATATAATTGAGAAGGAAAAAAAAACTTTCAAACATTTCTGCAGAAAAGAAATTTTTTGCTTCAATATTCTTCATTTTTCTCAAATAAGAATCGAAAAATTACGAACATTTCGTTCCACTCCGATGGGCGTAAAAGACATCTTTTAAATATAATTTTAGAGAAAAAGAAATCGAAAATTTTTGCAGAAAAAAAAACCAAAAAATTTTACTTTCGAAAGGAAAATCCTTTCTGCAAGAACTTTGTGTAACGTTCTGCGACAATGTCGCCGTGATTCTGCCACGGGGTGCATACAGAGGTTTGAAATTGCTGTGTTCTGCAAGTGTATATTGAGATTCGGAAGTATGGATAAGTGATCAGGTGCTATGTCACATCAATGCGAGTAAGAATTGGAATAATCACAGAAAAAGTTACTTATGAGATTCATTGTTGTTTAAAGGTTGTCTATGTCGATGATGCTACGGATAAATACACTGTAAACTGAAGAGTAACAAAATTTTGTGATTTCTATCCTTAGAAAAGCCACAATTGTGGATGAAACATGCAGTAAGTATGTCCCATCAGTGCCATTCACTGCAAACTCGTTGATGACATTATTTAAAATATCCAGCAAATAACTCAACACAAAAAAAGTGTATTACAACTCAGATTGGAATCTTCATTATAGAACTATTGGGATACAACATAATCTGTGCGCAATGGTGGAGGGATGAACTCGGACATTGAGGGGGATGGATACAGTTGTCTGTCAAGTACTAGATTCGAAAAAAGTAACAAGAAATTTTCTGTGAGAGAATGAAAAAGAAATGTTACAAGTCAATAAATTGTGTACCTAAACATACTTATGCTATTTGTTTCTGTTCATTTTCTACAAACATGTGCGCATTATTTTTCAGTTTACTAGAATGATACATGAGATATTATCTCCTCAAACTAAAAATTGGAAAATATTTATGAATAGAGTGAGATAAGCCCCAGACATGTATGGCTGTTGTTAATAATAAAAACAGGATATTCCACTTTAATGTAGGTGTGATGGTCCATTCTATCTTTGAGAAATGAACAAACGACATGCTTACGCTACAGTAAAAAGTCCTATTCTCATAATGCATCATAAACCATGATTAATGCTCGTGGCTTATCTTCTGGACTTACTATAGTCTGTCTATATAAATAACTCCTCTCACCACAAAGTCTAAGGTCATCTGCTGTTATGAAAATAAGAAACAGCACATTTTAAAGAGACCAAATAGAGGCATTGAAATAGGCCAAAGAAAAATTATTCCCTTTCCCTTGCTAATCAAAAATAAAACCTGTTCTAAATATTGACCCAACACCTTTACTTGAAATAGTTAAAAAACCTCATAATCACTGCCCCCGCTCGAGAAGAATGGTGAGGTTAGGTCCTTACTAAACAGACTATATTTTAAGCTGATAAAATAAAAACATAGTATTACTACATTTTTACTTATTTCTTTTTTTAAATGTTTTATTACATAATATACTCTTTCACTTTACAAAAATTAAAACAATTATTTTTACTAAGTAATGAGATAAATATATTTAAAACATATATATTAAAACAATTAATTAATGTAAACCTGACAGCCTAGTATTTATAATAACTCATTTAAAATGTTCTTATTACTAAAGAAAAAATAGAAATGAAAAATTCAATGCTAACTTCAAAAATGATTACAAACTGAAAATTAAATAATTTAATCATTTTTAAATAGTTAAAACAAATAAAATCATTGTACATATAACATAACCCAATACAAATAATATAGCAAATAATAATCTGAACAAATCATGTAGTTTAAATTTTTTTTTATTTATTAAAAGCAACAACAAAAAAGAATGGATGAGATGTAAAATGTTAATTATTGTAAATCTATATCTACATAAAAAATCTAATATTAGGCAGATGAGAAAAATGTTAAACATTGATCACTGACTTTCAGTATCGTTAAGTAATTTGCCAATTTAATACTACTTTGTTTTTGCAACCCAGTCCTTTTGTGATACAAACAATCATTGATAAAAACATCTAAAGTCAAAGTATTTTAAGAAAACACTCACACTTATTCTAGAGTCCAAATCTTAAGTCTTATGTAAGTAAAAGAATTTCAAATGGAAACTTGAGTCACATGGAATCGACCTGGAAAAAAACATACATACATATATTACTAATATAAATATTTATAAAATAAGAAAAACTGGATATAAAATTAAGAAATGATTATAAAAAAAATTTTATTACTATTTTTCTGCCTTTGGTTTTTTTAGTAGAAAAAAAATGACTACTGATTCTTGTTTTTAAAGAAATAATTTTTTCCTTTCAAAACTCCTGTCTATTTTATTCACTTCCGCAGCCTTTGCCTTTTCTTCGAATTTCAAATTCTTGACACGCATTAGCATACAATGAGCTAGCTTAACTCATTTCAAATTATTATTTATTTATTATTTCTTTCTACTTTTCTAAATCAATCAGTAGATTCTTCTAGCAAATTTTTAGCTGCTTCTTCGATTGTATCTTTTTCTTCAATTCCTACAGAGACCCTACCTCTCAATAGGGTTTCTTTATTTTTTGCAATTATTCTTCCATGTTTCTTTCTTTTTCTCATTCATTTTCTTTTTATTTTTGCTCTCTTCCATGTACGCCAGGGCTCGAAAAACTGCCCATCCTCGGTGGTTCAAAATTCCCCGCTGACAACAAATTTCTCGAATCCAACGTCTGCGCGGACGGCCGTTTTCCCGTTAATGTTCGTGATATATTTTCAATTTTTGTTATCTTACAAGAGTCTAGCTCGTCACTTCTAAAATGACCCTCTAATCTCGAAATACAGCAACATACTGTGCACGGTGGAATTGATGTTTTCTCTGTCTGGGAGTAGGTACTGCAGCGGTTGAAAGGGGCTTTTCAGCAATGAACTTACAAAAAAAGACATTACGCTAAACAAGAAGCGTCAACCGCAATTATGAACATCTACCTAAATGAAAAACCTCTTTCAGGCTTCTGTGATGAAACCTCTGTAAATCATTGGTTTGATTGTGGAACTGGCAAACGTCGTATTTGATTCATTTAAAAAAAGCAGTATCATCGGATAAATTGACCTGATAATTGACAGATAACTTGACCTTTGTTATTTAAATAATTTCATTAAAGAAATAAATTATTTCATTAAAGAAATACTAGGTTTTACTATTAGAAACCTAGTATTTCTTTTGTTACCATATAATGTTATCCTAGTATTTGTAATCCTAGTAACTACTAATTCATTGTGCAATTTATATAATTGTTAGTAATAAATAAGAGAAAATTATATTTGTATTTATTTAGAAGAGACGGATTAGTTCCAAAGGATAATGGGTAAAATTTCTGAGTTTTTTCGAGCCCTGATGTAGGCTGCATTTTATTATTATTTTGACGAGCTTGTAATTCATATTTAATCAATTTATTAGTCATTGGCGCAAGACGAGGAGAGTGAAAGCACTATTTAAAAGCATCTTTCAATGATCGAAACAGTATTCAAATATCTTTCTATAACTGTAGTTTGATCTTCACTTTGAAACTGAAAATCTCCACTCTACACCTGCATCATCAAGCAAAAGAGTGAGAGAAGCTTTGACAATTGTTTAATCCTTAAAAGTGTCTTTCTCGGAAATATGGAAATGCCAATAGATATCAATATTGAAATTTTTATCCAATTGCAGCAATTTTTACTCATCAAATAAAATATTTTCAGGAACATTAAAAGGCATCGCTTTATGAATATTTTTGAAATTTTAAAGAAATGAAACGAAATGTTTTATAAAATGAGGTATTTTTATTTAGAGATAAAGTTAGAAACAAAAATCAGGTGGTGGCACATTCAAATATATTATTAATAATAATGGGTTAGCCAGAACAACAAAAATGAAGATAAGTAGGCAATGGAGTTGCTCATTCATTTCCGCCAATATCACATATTCAGCAACTTTTCATGTTAGCCTCTGTTGTTATAAAGTATTCAATTAAATGCAGCTACATATAAGGAACTCAAAGAGCACAGTGATTGAGCTTACTTGCTGTGGGGCATCAAATACGCTAATAAACGGAAAGGGGACATAAAATATTGTGTCCCCTGGGACTCTCATTTCTCCATCAAGGAAAAAAAAAGCAGATTGACGTAGAAAAATGCAACAAAACTTTTAAATCAAAAATATAAAATAAAATCTTATTTCTCTTCAATCTATGTTATAAATTAAATTCACTCAGAATTTAACATATGAAACAGTTACTACAATCAAATTTTTAATTTTCATTTCAAATCTGTAGCAACAAGAAGTATTTTTTATTAGATACAAATATTTTCAAAAATGTATTGAAAATATGCTATTATTCAATTATATATCTTGGAGGAACACAATTTCCTATTTGTTGTCAATTTTAAGTTATGCTTAAGTTCCTTAATGTATAATACATTAATATACATTCAATGTATAATACACAATGTATAATACCTATATACTATTCAATTTTCAGTATATATACTATAATGTTTCATCCTGTCTGTAGCGAAACATTTTTTAAAAATATAGAATGGGCATTGTGAATTATTACGCAAATTCAAAACACAATTGAGATTTTCAGAAAATATGACCTGATTTTGAGTTTTTTTAAAGACAACTGATATGGAAATTTTAGTTTTATTTCTTTGTTGAATTATAACTGCATCTATTACTAATTGCATTTTCAATAAAATCATATCGTAGAATTAAACTGATTTAAGCAAATTCAGAAAAAGGCAATATAAGAAAATAACATTTAAAATAATAAGCAGCTAAAACCAAATTCGTCTTATTTTAACATTTTAGAAAGTCAGAACCACAAAAAAAAAAAAAAAAAAAAAAANGCAGCTCCATCTCAATGGGAAAAAAAAAAAAACAACAAAAAAAAAACACATAGAATTTCTAAAGATATCTAAGTTATAAAAACAGCACTTCATGAGGGGACACACTGTCTGCCAACGCACAGGAGCCTTTACGTCGTCAGTGGTATTACCAAAAACCGACAGTGCCCCAAGGCCACACAATGGATGAACTAAATATGAAAAAGCAATTAAAAATTCAAAAGTTGAAAAGCAAATGCAATGAAAAATTAATGATACACAAACACAAGTCAAAAGTACTCAGAATAAGAACATAGCATAGAACACAGCATTTCTTAACATCAAAATTACTACTTATGTATGACATTAAAATGGGAAATTGTAATTTAAAATAGGATTCGCTTTTAGTAAAAAAAGATTCAGAAACTCGGATTGTGGGTTACTAAAAAAGCACAATTTTCAAATTATGGTGAGATCAATGGCGCACATATTATTAGTTACACTTCAGATAATCTTCATATAGGAATCAGAAAAAGTAAGCCATTTACCAAGGAATGAGGCTCGATTTCCAGTGTCCTGAATTTAACATGTTTGCAAAATGACAGCTTATATAAACCTTTTTACTAAAAATCTATGAAAAGGTGATCACTTTATGAAAAAGATGAGAAAGGTGACTGAGTCCTCACCTACAATAGAAGAAGAAAAAATCTTAAATTATGGTTAAATTAAATAAATTTTAACAAATTGCTCTAATTAAATGTAATGCTAAAAATGGCTTAAGCTTTCTAGAAGGGGAAGAAAAAAAACATACATTGCATTGAAAAATATAGAAATTCACAAAAAACTCCAAACTAAATTTTTATATTAAGATTCTGTTTTTTTCTTGTTGAAAGTTGATTTAAACTTTTCTTTATTAAAAAAAAGTTTAAAACACTTAAAGCTAAAAGGATTATTTTTTATATTTTATTTTATAACTGGCATTGAACAGCCAACATAATTCTAAGTTTACGATCATCAATGTTCAAATCCTACCCTTGTAATTTTGAAGATAAAGAATTCTTGGGATGAGCATTGGAACTAACATACCTGCTTGTAGGTTATTTTGATGGAACTAACTCGCATTTGCGTTACATGGAGTAGAAAACCACAGAAACCTCCTACACTCAGTGCAAGTTGGGAGTAGAATTTGTATCAGCCACCTACCACGAGGAATTGAACCTTGATCAGTTTATTGGGTGGTGAACGATCTGTCTCCTGAGCTCTAAAGGGATTATTTAAAAAAAAAATATTGTTAAGCAAGTGTTATAACAGAGTACAAGGAATATGCTTTGAATATCATGAAACATTCACTTGAATGCAGCCTTTTTAAACAACCTAGTTCATACTTTCAATATGATGGCATATTTACTTGGTAATTTTTTAAAATACTTTGTAAGAAAAAAAATATAATAGTACAGATTAAAACTTAATAATAACATTCCACTCAGGATTTTTAAAAATACAAGGACCATTCTCACTGTCAACAATGAACCACATTATAAAAATTGCAACAATCAGATACTCAATTTTCCTTTTTCAAAAAATTTCCCTTTCACTGAATAGTTATACAATAAAAACTACTAGGGAAAAAAAAAACTACTAAAATTTTCATTTTAAAAATTTCTTTTTAAAATTTTACTGTTTAAATCTGATATTATTCTTTTACACGAAAAAGAGAAGAAAAGAAGTTTCTCTGATAATGATCTGCGGCAGAATAATTGCCACGTCTCGGAAACTCTTAGGCAGCAGCCTATGAGAAACTAAAAAAAATACATCTCAGAAGAGGACCATCTCAAAAGGCATAATTCTTATCCACCCTCAAGGTATACCTCTGTGCGTGTTTTTTTAAATTTTTTTTTTTTAAGTTTATGTGTGCAAGTTAAAAATCCATTTTGTTACTTGGTGATTGCAGTTGGCACTACAAATCAGGATCCAGAAATATACGAACATTAAATAATCTAACAACATTATATAATCTAACTTCTTACGGTAGATCTCTGACTTTACAAATGACTATTTAAAAAATATAGAATCAGAGGAATAAAGATTCTTCATTGTTATATCATTAATAATCTTAAATTAGGTTTCATTTTCGACAGTAAAAGTTGCAATCCTTGTGCTGTATCTAATTTACTTATGAATTTGCTTTTGGTGTATATACATAAGTATCATTAGAGAAACATAATTTTTTATTAGTGAATTTAGTTATTTCATTTTGATTTGAAAAGCACAATAGGAAATACTAAAGCAATATTTTACAAATGCTTGTTCTTTATATAATTTGTTTAATTTATTGTTATTCGGAAAAAAAAATGCCATTCCTATTACACTAGCATTTGATGCGAAATAATTTCATAAAGTCAAACCGAAAGATTATATGAATCATGAATTATAGGTGGGATCTAAATAGAATCAGATGTTGTAAAATCATAATGGATCATAAAAAGCACTATGACACGGAACGTCTTTAACTTTTTCACGGAACCCTCCACCCCCCAGGGTTCCGCAGAAACCACTTGGGAGCCGCTGCTTTAACCTGTATGATATCTGAAAACATATTAAATATATAGAAGTTCTTTCCAGCTTCAAATTATCCATTTTCTGCTGTGGTAAACACAGGTCAAAATAAACTCTTCTTCTGTTTTCGTACTGGTTGTTTCAACGGAACCCCCCTCCCAGGGTTCCTCAGAAAGCCATTTGGGAACCGCTGCTCTAACCTGTATGATATCTGAAAACACATTAAATATATAGAAGTTCTTGCCAGCTTCAAATTATCCATTTTCAGCTGTGGTAAACACAGGTCAAAATAAACTCTTTTTCTGTTGTCGTATTGGTTGTTTCCTGTCCATTTTCTCATTAGTCATATTTCGTTTTCTAAAATAAGTTTTTTTACTATTTCAAATTGAAAGCGGTCTATGAGATCCGTATATAAAAAACAAACAAAAACTGTAGGTAGTTGACTGTTGGTAGAGCTTTACCGGCAATGTAAAAACTAGCTTATAGCTTCTGTTGGAAAAAGTTGGGAAAATAGAAACTAGTGATTTAGCGTCATCTAGCTATCGATTTGTGAACCATTTTAGTGTGAAGGCTAATGTCATTTCTAAGGTGACTAAACATTCCTTAATCTTGAGAACAATCCTCAAATATTTACGTTTTCCCTCCAAAAATGTAAAATTTTTCGAGAATAGATGTTTTTAAATTTTAATATATGTGCTCAAATGTTCTCGAATCTTTCGAAAACATCGTTTTGCTGCAAAATATTAAAAATTTTTTTGAAAAATTACAACAGTGCATGTTTTATTAAATAAAATAATTTTGTCTCACGGAGAATGCAATCGAAAACAAAAAAAAGCATCATGCTAACAGTAATTTACTCGTCTGAGAATAATTTCATCAAAAAATAAGCTAATAATCATGAGTGTTAATTAAATGCAAAATTTCATATTATATATCAATCTGTTTAGTTATGATATCAAGCTTGATGAGGATGGTTCTACATCTGACATTAGTTATTAATTTTTGTTAAAAGAAGAAAGCTTTGTTTCACATATAAATTAATATTTTCCATAAGCATATAGATGTCTCGAATCGTAAAATGTTCTAAATAAAAAGCTAAGATGGATAGAAATTTAATATTTATAGTGTTTTGTATCCCTTGAAAAATATTCTTAATAAAATAATAATCAATCAAATTTCAAATTCAGATTTTTAATCAAAAATGTGATTCTTTAAAAATTTATTTCTAAGCAGAAATAAATAGGTAAATCACTTATATTTATCAAAGATCATCGGTTAATAGCAAGGTTTCAAAGTCAAGAGCATACTTTTTAAACAGGAAAGAAAATCACATTTTCAATAGATAAATTTTGCTTGCACAGTTTACATAGTAAATACCGCTAAAAGTCATGTGAGCAGATTATGTAAAAAAAATAATAAAAAATATCATCAGAAATATAAAGACATTATTTTTACAACAGTTTTTCAAATGACCACAAACAATATAATAAATTTTTTTATTAAAATGATTTTCAATAAATAAAAATAAAATAAAATAAAACAGTAAAATTGAAAACATTTTTGCAGTATTTAATTTGATTATAATTGGCCTCTTAAAAACGTGTAACTGAAGGAAACACACTGAATCTTTAGTTAAAAAAATTATATAAATTTTTTTTTAATGCTTTATATAACAATGTGAAAATTTATTAATGACATACGGTGTGTAATACGTACTTAATAAAATTTCGCTTATGATTAAAACAAAATCAACTTATAACATATTTATAATTTTTCCGAACTAATGATAAAAAATTCCTTCAGTTCAAAAATATAAACAATGTTAAGTTGCTCTCAGTTTTTCGAATTCCAAATTTTCTTATGAAAATTACATAAAAAGCTGACTTAATATTAAATTTACACCCACTGTTTATTATATATAAAACTATTTATAATTATTAAACTAATTTTAAGTTTTAAAGCAAAATTATGTTTTAAATTTTGCTTATTCAGAGTATTTGTGACATCTTTTACGCATTTATTTGAAAACTTGATTATAACAATTAAAAAAAGGATTTTTTGAACTTCAAAACCTTTTTTTTTGTTGCGTTGCATAAACTAAAAGAAAAAAAGTGTTGAGATTAAGTCAATTAACATTTAAGATAGCATAAAAAAATTAATAATTTGAAAACGCTAGTTAGGGCTTATTAAAATAATATTGTTTTGAAAACCAAAATCAAGCTAAAATTAAAAATTACAATGATGCAATTTCTAAAGCATCTATTAATAACTTTTAAATTATTCTACAAACAGTTTACACAGTAACAGCAAATACAACGATAACACACCAACAATCATCTATATACAATATACAGACAGTTTCCACAACATTTTATTAAAAATTATGTACAGCAGCTAATGATACTTTTTTTTTATGAATTTAAAATATGACTCAGTCAGAAATGCCCAATATTAGAAGATAACTAAAAATGTCTCATAACTCAACTTTTTTATAAATACTGAAAAATGATCTTCTAACTCGGCAGTTCGACTATGAAGAAATTTTTTTTACTATGAAACCTTAAGTGATTGAGATTCTTTTGGCGGAGCCTCATGCTTATAAATAAAATTAGTAATTGTGATTATGAGAACCAAAGAAAGACTAATTATTTTGATAATATTTAATGTAAAGAATTAAATGTTTTTCAATAATCGAATTTAGTTCTAAAATTATAGGTTTTATATCGAACAGTTGAATTCGAAAGCTTGGAGTGAAATTTAGTTAAGTTATGAATTTTATTTCGGTGACTGCGTAAGCTAAAAATGAATGAAGAGCACAAAATTTTATTTTATAACCTTCGTTGAACAGCCGACCCAACGTTTTGGGTTTACGACCATGAATGTTCAACTCCGTAGCCTTGTAATTTTGAACCCAATATAGCCTTCTGGCCTTCGTGGAAGACTTTTTGATGGAACTAACCAGCATTTGCATTATATGGAGAGGAAAGCCACGATAACCTCCCACTGTTAACCTGACGGCAAGGAGACTCTAACTCATGATCCGTCTGCCACTGAGGATATTTTACATCAGCACTGTGGTTGATGCAAGGCGGATGTGTAATTCGTATCGACCAGCCGTCACTGGGTTCAGCTGATTGGAATGTCGAACGCTCTATCTCCTGAGTCATCAAGGGTAAAGAATACTAAATTATAGTTTTCAAAACAAGATGTAGGCCGGAATAGATTGGTTGGTAGGGCGTCGGGCCCATAACAAAGACTCCCCGTTCAGTAAATGGTTACTGGTGCACGTTAAATCCCTCGGGTTACAAAGTCCTCCATGTTTCCAATACAAATTATACCTTTGAGGGTACGGAATTGGAGATTGATTGTTCTCTGGTTCAGGTTAAAATTTGTGATCTGTGGATGAATGAATGGATGTATGAATGCCTTATTAACGGATTGTAAGGTGCGTGTGGCTGAAATCATATTCTTGGCCAGAGATGGCGCCACTGAAAGACAAGAAACGCACCCTCTGCCTTAAAATTCGCTTGGCTTCACCAAATGGGCTTGCTGATATTGGCAATGGCATTAGAAATAACAACAATAAAAAAGAACTTATAAACACTGAGAATGGTTATGTGAGCAACATAATTCTTAATTCTAGGATTTGGTCATTTTATTTTAAATTGAAAGGTTCGATGAGTTATCATCTAGTAATTTCTTTTTTTTTTATAAATACATAATCTTTTCATAAATTTTTTAATATTTCATCATTGAAAGTAATATTTTTTGAAATGAGTTCTTTTTTTTATTGATATTTTACTTAAATAATTTTAATAAAAATAACCAAAATATGAAATAAATGATGGAAATGTTTGGATATAAAAATAATAAATATTCTTATTGGAAACTCTGTAAGCCTTCCACGAAACACTAGAGTTCTGTTCTAACTAATGCTTTCTTTTAATTTAAAAATAGATTGGTCTAAAATTCTGCAAACAGAGTTTATAATTATTTAAACTGTATAAAAACAGCAAATGAAAATAATTTTTTCCATAGTATTTAAGTTCATTAAAAAGCTCTATCTTCTGTATATTTGAATAGAAATACTTTAAACTATGCTTATAGGTTCTGCACAGTACAATATGTATTTCAACATACATTTTAGTAATTCAAAAGTGTCTTCATGCGCTTATTTTTTCTTATATAAAAATAATGCTTTAAACCTAGAAAAATAAATAAAATTTTTTGAGCAAAGTTTTCTGATGCATAAATGATGCATTTTTGATATCGTTTGCAGGACTTCCGTTTTAAAATAAATTTGTGGCTAAGAAGATACTTTTATAGTTAAAAATTACTTCATTCCATTAATGCCTCCTTTTAAAAGTATTTTTACCATTATCAAACGCTTACTTGTACTTTAAAAATTTGTATAGACTAAATTTTTTACGTTGGTGAACACACAAAACATATTTTGCAATAAAATTCTAGAGCAGAGAGCTTTGTAAACTACGGCTAGCTTAGTTACAATGGTAATTTTGAGAAGTATCAAATTCTATTGGTAGAGATAGAGGAGGGGGGAAGCAATGAAAACAAATGTGGGGAAAGAAAGAAATGGTTTCCGGTAGCTTAGCTCTGTTCGTTCGCATTAGCTTTCCGTTTCTTCGCAAAATGGTAGCGAAATTTAACTTAGAAATTTCACTTTTAAAAATAGACTTTCAGTTTCACTAATAATTGAGATGTTTTTATTTGAAGTATTAATTGTTTTACTGATACAGAATAGTTGTTACAATTTAATCAATAAGATTTTCTTGTTTCTTATAAATCTTATAGTTTTTCAAAAAAGAATGTTTCTTGAAAGTTTTACAATATTTGCTCTAAATTTCGAATCAGCATTTATACCCTGTGGTACATTAAACTGAGAAAATTCTAAGGAAAAAAGTGCAAATTGAAAACAATTTTGTAAACTACTAGAAAAGACAAATAATTTTTTTAGATTTGCATAATCCCCGTTATTAATATAGGCGATCGCAACGCTCGATTACGCCATCTGGGTAGAAGATCGGTTCCATGCATTTGGCCCTTCCCCCTTCCCACTCCTCTTCTTTTCAGTTGCATAGGAATGTATAGTTTGTCTACGGTAAGAACTCCCCCGCCACAAAGTCTGAGGCCGTTTGCTGCTATGGAAACAAGAACAGTGCATTTTAGGGAGGGTAGCTTCTCTTCACTCTAGGGCTAACACAGTAGACTGGAGAAAAAGATTCCCTTTCTCTTGCTGACCCTAGTAATAACCCCTAAACAATTATCCCACACCCCTACTTGGAATAGTTATACCTCGTTGCCATAGTCACCACCACGGGTCCAGACAAATGGCTAGGGGAGTCCTTACTTTAGACAAACTATATTACGATATTTTTACTTATCTTAATATTTTTCGTATTGAATTGTTAAAAATATTTTTTAAAACTTCCATGACGCTTTATTTCAAAACTATGTATCATGAAATTTTCAGTCCCATATAGTTTCCTAACTTAAAAGATTTTTATCTATTTAAAAATCAACTAACGTACTTCCTTCTTCTATGACTCTTCACACGATAATGGTGAAAGCACGTTAAGTGTTGCCATAGTTAGAGAGTTCTGCTCTACGCCACCTGCAGCCCATTTCAATCGCCTCTATAATTTTCGTTTACATTTATTACTACATGTCTATTAGAGGGTTGTGGGAAAATTTTCCAACAAAGTTACGTTCTCAGTGGTAAAAAGTTTAAGAATCTCTGATCTACTACAATTTCTTACCATATAACTGTAGATAACATCATCGTGATCAATGAAGAATGAATCTGAGTTCTACATCAAACATATGATCATAAGTATTCCATCAAAGGATATACAAAATTTACAATTGATTTTTACAATAACAATATTTTCTAAGATTTGGATAAGTATCATGGATACAGTGTTCTTGATTGGCATACATGTTTACACGACTGAGTTCAAACTCTTTAACCAGAAATTGGTTACTACTCGTGATGTGTTTCACTGATGCTTCGTATATGCCATCACTAGGCGAAGCTCTTAATTGTACTTGGTAAATGAGTTCTGTGACTTCTGTATTGTCAGAGAATTCTCCGATGAAGCCGTCTCTATCGGCATTTTTCTTAAACTTTAAAAGTGCTTTATTTGGTAGAAGTTTCTCAATGCGCGTAACTTCTTTCAGTTTAAGTATTTCGCAAACGTTTCGTTGAACCTCAGTAAGTTTATTTATAAAATCTATCACAGCTTGGCCAACATTTGTGGCCACGGGATATCCCGGAGACATTTTTGTCCATGACAAACAGGCGCACCAGTGAGGTTCAATTGAAGCCATTGAGCAAGTTCTCTAAAATAAAATAAAGTCAAACGATTAATAAGAGATTCATAGAAGAGAATAAACAATAGTTATTGCTGCTATTATATTTGAGTATTCCATGTTATTATGTGATTTTGTCAACTAGCTAATCAACCAAAACCAAACCAAATCCAATTAGCAAAAACCAAATGCTAATTACAGAAAAACGCGGTAGCAGAAATTGCTAGTGACATCTAATGGCTTGGATTTCGATCTTCTTTTCGTCTCTTTCACGTAATTTTTTAAATTCCGATATTTTAAGTACGATTTTATTACGAGTTAGAATTATCACTTCTTGACGCTCTTCATTAACGAGGATTCTATCGTTAAACCTCATCGTTTTCCAATAGTTATTTATCGTTTTTTCGGCGATCTCCACAAGATTTTTCAAACTTTAGTATTTTTAATATAATATTGTGACACCTGAAGCTCGAATTCGAGTAATCACTTTTTGAAGCGCATGATTATTATTCCGTCGTTAATCCATGTTATTTTCTGATCGTTTTCTCTGCAGTTATTTCAGCTGTTTTACGTTTTTACGGTATTTTTACATGGTTATCCAAATTCCTATATTTTTCATACAATGTTATTACGTCACGCGAATTTGAGATTTGAGTAATAATTTTTGATGTACTCAATTTGCGATGATTTCATCGTAAATCCAAGTCATTTTTCGATCGTTATTATTATTATTATTATTTTGAGTTATTTATCGTTTTTTCGGCAGTTTCAACATGGCTGTATCAACATAATTAAACTTTTCTTTTACAGATTTTCTTATGCGATATTTCGATACACAAATTTCAAATTTGAGTAATCTGCTTTTGACGCACTTAATTTGCGACTACCCCATCGTTCATCTACGTTATTTTCCGACCATTTTCTGTTTTCGACGCTCTCAATTCATGACTATGCCATCATAAATCAAAATCATTTTTTTAATCCCTTTTTTATCAGTTATTTCAGCTAGTTGTCTAACTTCTATCTCTGAAATTTTCATATACTTTGTTTTAAAATCTCGGTTTTTTAAATATGATATTAATAATACCGTTGCATCCGTAATTGCGCATTTGAGTATTTAAACTTTCATACGAGCATAAATATTTAATATTTATTATTCAGTGATCTTTTTACCGCATTAAGACACACAGCAATAATTATGTTTAATTTTCTGCATTATAAAATCTATCGTGATAAAACTTTAAAAAATGATTGTTGGAACCTTAACTTTTTTAGCAGTATTTAGGCTTGGTCTATATTATATAAAAATCAATAATGGTATGCATAAAATGTTTAACAAATTTTTTTAGCTCATTATAAATTATCTGAGAAAAATTTTGAATTCCTAACATATAAACTATATTGTAAATGTTTTCAAAATATCTTGACGTTTTACGTTTGTTTTTAAAATTACAAAAATGTTACGAAAATCCAAAGTAGTAAGCCGGGGTATTGGAGGAACGGAAGTTACGCTATCATGGGAAGTCAAAGGGTGCATATTTCTGTCCGGTGGAAAGCGAAAATATTTCTTAAACCGGAAGTCAGTTTATTTCCGCCCACTTGCTTATTTCTGTCCGCCTGAGTTTTAGTCACGGTTTCTGTTTTTCTGAATCATTCAAAGTTAGAAGATCCTGAAACAAATCATTTTAAAATATAGAGTTGAAATCTGTGTGGTTAAAATAGGTGATTCTACAAAAAGCTACTAGATTGTAGAAACAAAGAATACATTTGAATATTAACTGAATTAAAAATAATCCCAAACCGAATGAATTGTAGTTTTAAATCTCTTTATAATTCAAGTTTACATCATGAGAAATAATGAAGTTTATTGTTTTCAGCAATTAATCTCAACGGATAACGTCAAATTATTTCCTTTCTGATCAAAAACATCGAAGATATTAAAACATCAAAGATAGTCTAGAAAAGTATAAGTTTTAGACATAAATCTCTACTATTACGTGTAAGATTAATGTAGACTTTGAGTCTAAGATACGATTATAAATGTTTAATTATTTTAAAAAATGTTTTCACCCCATTTAAAAAAATAATGGCATAAAAATGAAATATAAACATAAACAACACATTAAATATCAACAAAAAAATTTTTGTGCATTAAGGGAAAAACGGGAAAACAGGAAATTGTTTTGTTTAAAAGTGATGAAAAAATATTCCAACGTTTTCAAAATTAAGAAATTTAAACTTGAGTTAGAACAACAAGTGCGAAATAATATTTACCTTAAAAATATAATATTGAAATATTATAAATTATAAAATATTTTCCTGAAAGTCTTTTAACATAATGAACCGAAGTAATGTGTGTTAGATATATTCAAGTAAATATTAGAAAATAATGATGTTATAAATAATAGAAACAACACACATTAGTTTATTATTCGTGTTAGGATAGGAAAACAGTTTTACGTCATCTGCTTTTAATGAAGGAAACTATTACGTAAATAATTTATTACGTAATTTACTAATTTAATATTCAATTGATATAAAACGTAATTTTTCCGCAATTAATCAATTAATGATTTTATTAATCTGCTAAGTCCTTGGTTACGCCAAATATTTAGTTAGCAGCTATTTTGAAAAACCTTCAACACGTATTAATATAGATATTTAAGAAATTCATTTTTTTCTTCTGGAAAAATATTTTTTTTCTAATTTGAAAACTAACTTATATATCTAAAGTGTTTATTCAATCATAATTTTAAAACACTAATAAGCTTATTCCTCCTTTAAACTTTATCAAATATAAAAAATTTATTATTGCTTAAAATATAAATGTATTTATTTTTTAATTTTATGAAAATGGAAATATTTTAATTAATTTTATTTTTGGTAAGAAAATGTATATATTTATATTAATTTATCAATTATCTATTTATTTTTCAAAATACAAAATTATTTATTTTCCAACAGAAAATAAAATTAATTCAAATATTTTTCTATCCATATGATTAAAATTAAGTACATTTATATTTTAATATAGTAATTAATTTATTATAGTTGATAGCATTAAGAACTTTAAAAGAGGAATAAATTTATAACGATATTTATTTAAATAAAATTATGAATGAATGCTGTAGAAATATTATTATTATTTATAAATTTTTTTTTTCATAAGAAAATTATTTTTTCTATAAAAAAGCTTTTATTTAATTAAATTTTTAAAATAATAATTACAAAATTAATTTTTACCTACTCATTATTATTATTTATTTTATAATCATTCAAGAATTATATAGATTAAACTAATTCTTTAATAAACATCTATTATTATTTTTAAATAATATACATTGTTAAACGCATAATATTCTTTAATTTCTATTAATTAAATATATGAAATCAATTACTTTTGTTTTTTTAAATATTAGACTTTTTTTATATATGATGCTTTCTTAAATCATTTATTAATTCATTTGAATATACACAGCATTCTTTTTTTATAATAATAATAATACAAATTAATTTTCAATATAAATTTAATTAATTTATTTTTACTAATTTTTTTAATTTATTCAAATATATTATTAAATAATATGGATAATAGTATTAAAACTATCTGTATTACATTTATTTATATTAAATATAAACTAATTTTATGGCTATCAATTTATTCTAGTTCACACATAGGTAGTGACATCAAAGTAACTACACGATAAGCAAAGTAACAACTTACGATAAAGTAAAGCACTACCATTGCCACCCGGAAAACAAAATACTACAATCATGAGAGGGCAGAAATAATTACTTAATAACTGTCAAGGATTAAGAGAAAACATATCGATGAAACTAAAAGATGATATCAGTATCAAATCCCTTTCATTCATACACGTGTTCAGAATACAAAGGTTTAACTTATTTACACATATCTTACCAAGCATTTGTAGGTCAGTGGTTATGATATCCAACTGCTGATCCACGAATACTTTTTGATAGGCATGAGTTTGATCCTCAGCCTTAATTATATTCAATAAATAATAAAATAGATTTAAATAATGAAATAGATTTAAAGTTATTTTATTTCTAACATTCCCACATAGATGGTGCCACTGGAGTAAAAGCATGTGCATGATATCATTTATTTATTATGTAATAAAAGATGACGTCATTACTTCATAATATACGATTTCTCCCCCAAATAACAAAGTTTATAAGTATTGCCACCCTAAACAAGTAAAATAATATTAATAAGTGTTGCCATTACACGAAAATAATAAATAAAAACATTTAAAAAGTAATAATAAAAAAAAACGAAATTAAAATTGAAACCGCAGTAGGACAGAAATAAGCTAATGAGGAGAAATAGACAGTTAATGACGTATTTCCAGATGAAAACTAAAAAGTGTTGCCACCCTCAAAAAAGGTAATAAATTAAAATAATATCAAAAAACGAAACTATATTAAAAACCGAAACTATAACTCAGGCGTGCAGAAATAAGCAAGTGGGCAGAAATAAACTAATTTTCGGCTTAAGACATATTTTCGTTTTCCACCCGGACAGAAATAAGCACCCTTTGACTTCCCATGATGACGTCACTTCCGCATCGCCAATACCCCGACTTACTACTATCAACACACATACAATTAAAATACACTCTAAACAAATTTATTCCTTGTTAGATAGATAGAACCGTCGCTGAACTTTCAACATTCTCCATCAGCGATTACGCTACTGCAATACGCCCTATTGGCTACTTGCAACTCGAGAAGAAGTGAAGTGATTATGTCTAATCATGTGATTTAAATCAGATTTAATAGGATGCCTGTAAGTGACGTCACGTATGGGTGTCGCACCTAATTGGCTTCTGAATCGACAAATGCCACAATTTACATGCGATGTTCCTTGCAGGTATGCAATTGTACGCTCAGATTTTTGTCCAGATTATTAAAATAAATCTGATTTTTTTTTCTTTTCGAACTTCATTCCTAAAAATAAAACAACTTAGCAGTTTTCCTCACTTTTTTTCTTCAAATTCTTATGTCACTGTTTATATTTTCATATTTTATGTTCACAACATCACTTGCTCTCAGAAGGAAGAGACTGACTTGAATAATCATGCAAAAATGTATAAATTAATTTTATTTTCTAAATTTATAATTTTGATTTGTGCCAAATTTTTCTTCTCAGGTGCCTCTAAAAATAATCAGACTGCATTCCTTCTTTTATATTTTAATAACATTATAAAATGGAAAACAATGTCTTTGAAGTTTTAATACTGAAAGAAAATTAAAATAATTGAAATATTTATAATAATAAAGAAAAAAAAAAGGAAAAAAACACCGGTGTGGAGTCCTAGGCAAATGCATCACTTACCATTGCGACTGCTCTGATTCAAAGGGTGACTTTAGTGAGAATTTAATCCTGATTATAAATTTGATTTTCACCAACCCTATTTAAGTTATTATTTACTGGAGATATGTCTAGGTAGTAATAATTAATCGTGTACTTTGAAATATTCTAGAAAACTAGCTTTAGACTTTTCTAATAAATATTTATCTGCAGTGGTAGTAATTTTCTAAATTTCAGTGACTATGAGCGTTCACAGCAGTCACTAAAACAAAATAGCCATTTCCAAGTTAAAAATTATTTTTGTCAGTGTGACGACGCGTTATAAACTTTAACTGTAGTCTTTTTCATATAAGAAAGTTTAATAAAAGGATGCCTTTGATGGGAAGAAAGAAGTCAAAAGGAGACATGACATCAATATGTCAATAGCTATAAAAATACGCACATTTGTTCTTTTCCAGATTTGGTCAGAGTCTCTGCTGGTTACGAGAGTAAGATTTGCTGACCTCTGAAATACGTCGTGTAATTCACGAGTTGTAAATACAGTCCCTGGCCAAATTATAAGACTCACTATAAGATTCTATGTTAAATCTTAATTAATCAGGTGATACTATACAGCTTTATTGTTTATACGCAACTGAAACCGGTTTGCACTTGTTCACGTTCGTGTGTCCATCAGTTGAATTAGGCTATACATAATACAAATTCGACGTTTGGATAAAGACGATATATTATATAAATATAGAATATTTATTATATCAGGTATTATATTATAATAATTAGAACAAATTATTGGACGCACTGCAGTGTTTCAATAATTGCATGTTTTGCACGAGTTTATATGCAATACTTTTATATTCAAACATACATGTAATGGGTTTTAATTCAAGAGATTTTTTATATACTTTCTATTTGTATTTATTTTTAACGTATTGCATTACAATGTCAACCAACTGATACACGAACGTAAATAAGTGCAAACTGGTTTCAGTGGCGTAAAAAAAAAAAAAAAACTGTATAGTATCACCTGATAATTAAGATTTTACATCGAATCTTATAGTGCGTCTAATAATTTGCCTGGGAGGAGTGTATATTAAGGCCTGGTTTCTTAGGACAAGCGCCTTATCTGGGCGTCAGCGTAAAGTTAACGTACCGCCGACGCCAACAAAATACTGTTTTCTTAGCTCAGCGTGAGCAGTCGGTCTAACGCAGACATTATCTCGCATTGCGCATGCATTAATAACGTAAGCAAATATTTATTTTGAATTTGTATTGATTTTGCTATTGTCGACCAGTGCTTTAAAAAACAAATAATGACTTTGTCCAAGAAAAGCACATTATAGCTTAGCTAAATAAAGAAGAAGAGAAAGAAGAAGCTATGTTTAATGTTAAAATCAAAATCTTGGCCGATTTCAATGTTCTGTTGGATGCTGTCCGCCATTGCTTCTGTCGTTAACGTTACGTTGTAATGCAACTGCAGTTGATTCGGACGTCAGTCGTTGCTCAAGCTGAGCGTTCAATGACGTATGCTGTCTAACTCACAAATTGACCAATCAGGGTTTAGCACTCGCTTCAAGCTGACGTTTTGTAACGCCGACCTGTCCTAAGAAATCAGGCCTTTAGTATTTCTAAATATGATTACAGTCTTTTGTTTCATTTAAAAGTTAAACAAATGTATGTTCAAATTCTGACTTTATTACAACTCTGCAATGTCGTATAAAACCCGATACATGAAAAAGAAATGCCTTCAAGTTATTCCTCGAATAAAGGAGTCATGAATAATTGAAAACCTAGAAGTATTATTTGAAGAGTTATTTAAAAATAAACAGTGTTTACAATTTACAACTTTTATATGATGGGTGATACTTACATCTTGTGATATCTCAGAGAACAAACTGATGCTGCGATGTGATAAATCCCCCTGTATCGGCACATTTGAGTCAAGTATGGTCATGAGTGTGGAATAAATATCGAATGGCGTTGATAATCGATTCTCATTAATTCTCAAATTCCTAATAAGCTTCGGATATTTCGTTTCCATCCATTGTGGAGTCACCACGGCGAAGAATGGCAATCTTTCTTCTTGCTTTCCTTGCTGAGTTTCTCGAATGGCTGCGAATCTGAAAATTGTTACAGTTAAAAAATGTAAAGTAATGTTTACAGTATTTATTATTGTAGTAAGTAATTTTAGTAAGTAATGTTTACAGTATTTATTATTGCTTAGATCTCAAAGGCTCGTCAGTTTTTGTGACTCAAAATTAAATTCTTCCAAAAATAAAAGAATAATATGGCAGTTAAGAATGTTTAGAATGTAAAGAGATTTAACACAACATTGATTTTGGAGATTAGGATATTCACCGATATATTAGTTAAATTACAATACAATATCACATTCCTTCCATGTTAAAATGGCCAATTTTTATGCATCTATTTCCGGAAAATTATGAATTGGTTTTAAATTTTTTTAATTTTTTTATTTCTATTATTCTGCCGTGCAATATAAGAATCATCGGAAGCGAAAAAATTCAAACTCAAAGATTTAACACAGCATTGATTTTGGAGATATTCACCGATATCTTTGTAAAGTAATAATAAATTACAATAAATAGGTTAATGATATTATTTAATTATTGTAAATTAATTACTGAATGAATAAAGTCAGCTATTAATTTTTTAATCAAACTAAAAACAATAATAAATTGCTAATACAGAGAACCAACTTGTCGAATGAAAAGTGAGTTAATTTAGATGAGAAAGCATTTTCAAAAATAAATTATTCTTGGTAGAACAAGTCCTTATTTACAAGTAGATATTTAATAATATTTAAAGTTACTTTTATTGAAATAAATGGGTATAAAATTAAATGGTTATAATTGAAATATATTTATTGATAATCAAACAGCAAATTATATTACATACTGCAATGAGCACATTAAAATATGAAAATGGTATGAAATGAATAATAAAAAATTATAATTTAAAAGTTACATTCTGATCAAAATTTAAACTCTTAAAAAAAGAAAAAAACGAGACATTTTGTTTCTTAACTTATTAACTTATTTCCGTATTCTATAAATAAGACATTCATTATCAATAAGATTTGATATCAATGATTTATTATCAGAGCCTTAAGTTATATTAGTTAATGGAACACTATATAAATAATATTTTTTTACATAAATCTGTGATTTAGAGAAATACTCACGTGATTCAAATCAACGATTTTTAAATTAAATATTTCTCAATCCATCCAACCCTGCTTTTTATTTTTCTTGACATTTTCCGCAGCAGCTCTTAGGAATTACCCTCCACTTAAAAATTTTTTGAAATTTTGAAATTTTTAATACAATTAATTTCTATGACATAAAAGATGAAACTTGATAAATAGTTTCTTGTCATTATTTTAAAAATTACATTCCTGATATAAAGAAACATTTACTGAAATGAAATTCACGCTTGAAAATATGAATTATAATAACTCGAATTATATATCCAAGGAATAGTAAAAATATATCCAAGATTTAACAAATGTAAAGAAAATCTCGTAATAAAACTATTAATCAGTCCAGAATTTTTGACGCCTCTAAATTTTAGCGACCCTGGGCGGTCGCCCAGTTCGCATCCCCCTAAGCACAGTCCTGGGAACTTTTTCAAGATATGGCAACATTTTCTTAAATTACGACCTACATAATTGATTCGACAAAGCACAGATTTGTTTGTTAATTGAATAAATAAATATTATTTACTTTTTTTTTAAACTTTTAGAATAAAATAAAAAATGTGAACTCTTACCTATGACCGTGATCACTAAACATAATAAGAATTGTGTTATTTAGAATTCCACTCTCTTTTAAACCAATCAAAAACTTCTCTATGTCTAGGTCTGCATGTCCTACTAAGTTGTAATCATCATGACTCAGTTCTCCGTGAAAGCCAAGAGCAAATTTAGGAACGTCTGAATAAACGTCATAAAACTGTCTCAACCAGTCCAGCATTACCTAACAAGATCAAAGATAGTCATAATTCTGTAAGGTAAATATGAAATTATAACAAAAAGATAAAAAAAATTTCGTTTCACTTTTGATAAAATAAAAATTGATTTTTTGTTATATTTCAAAGTTTAAAATGATCTAATTGTTTTTCTCCTGAAAATATTGAACAGTTTAATAAGTTAGGCTTAAGGAACAAATTAATTTTAAATTTTTTTTTATTCTCATATACTTCTTGATTTATTTTATTCAAATGCATCGCATAAGAATGCAATGTTATCGATAACACGAACCTCAATCGCTCTATTCAGCAAGATGTATAACAGGGCTGTCCAACTGGCAGCTCGCGGGCCGCATGCGCCCCCAACAGATATTGTGCAGCCCGCCAACTTCTTATTCAGGCTGATCGGCCTCAGTTTTCCTTTCTGTTCCATTGCTTTATAATTCATAATTCAACTATTAATTGTTATTGTATAAGAGGTAAGAGGTTATTGTTCAACTTTTTCAAACTGCGGCCCGCCAGGTGATCAGTGACCGGAATTCTGGCCCGTGGGCTCTTTGCAGTTGGACAGCTCTGCTGTACAACAAGGATTGTAATAAGATAACTACTTTTGATATCAAACATTCCTCAGATATTAGGGAGATTTCGCAAATTAACGTTAGATTCCGTACGCAAGATTTGAACCAACTGCGCATGTGCTCTCGTATTTTGTAGATCCTATGTATCTTCACGTTTTGTTTGCCTGATTTTACAAAGCTGCAAGCACACTATACATAGCTGTTAAGCGTTACTTTCTGTTTTAGCCTAACTATGAATTAACAACATGAACATGTTACAGATAGATCAAGACACTACTCAAAATAAAGATGGAGGATTCGTTATTGCAATATGTAAAAAGGAATAGAGTCATTTTACAATAAATGATTCATTGAATAAAAAATAAATGTTCTTTGTTTTAGTTTAAAATTATGGTTCCTTACTAGTAAGATGACCATAAGAAATTAATTTTCTTTTCGCTACCTATAGAATATGTTTATTTTAGTTATACAATTTAGTTTTACGATTTTAAACTTCCATAATATCCACTACGTCCATTTTAAATGTATGTTTTGATTTTGTCGTCAAAGTTAAGATGATATTCCACTATGTTGACGTTTTTAACTTACGGGATTTTGCAAAATTTTTTTTTTTCCACGTAAGTTTGATAATTTTTCTCAGGCGCACGAGCACTTGCAATTACTTCTAAGTTTGCGTATGGAATGGTACGAAATCTCGCTATTATTATTAACTCTTTCGAAGAGTGACGACAACACAATAAAAAAGATACTGCTTTTTAGACCCACTGGAAAAAGAAAGTGGGGAAGGCCGCGGTTGAGATGGGCTGACTCAGTGGAGTCTGATTTTCTAGCAATTAATGAAAAAAATTGGAGATCAAAGATAAATCGGAAGTCATCATGGAGAAATCTACTGAGGAAGGCATTGGCTCACATTGGGCTGTCTAGCTAACTATGATGATGATGATTACACATCTTCCTCAAAACATACAATAACTTTTTATAATTAATGTTTAAAAGTAAATCAGCATTAGTTTACGCATTATAACTAAAAGCTTGGCTTATGCATGGAAAGGAAATAGATTTGTCAAGAAAACCAATACTTCCAGTGTAGCGTGGCGGAAATCGTTAAGTAGAGTATATTATCATGACATTTCATTCTCTAAACATTTGATTATATAATAACATCTATATGAATGTATGCATAAATCTATATAAATATTTTTTTGATAATGCAACCAAAACCTTGTACAATGAAAATTTTTTATACAATTCGCTTTTCTTGAATAAACGCTCGGTCAGAACTTAAATAGAATCAAGAGTTTCATAAGCACTCAGCAGTTGAATTTTTTTTAAAATTGAAAATGAACTTTATTCTGCCCTTTGTACCTGCTGCATAAACTTCTTGATTGGGATAGTTATTCACCAGTTATGAATCAAATAAATTAATAGAATGTAAAATAATTTCAGATTATAGAGCAATAGTTATTTACAGATATTTATTTCATAAAAGGCATAAATGTCTTAAATAAAATAGCTAGGCAGATTTTTTTTAAAAGGACTAGCTTAGATGAAATTACGAGAAAAGAAGCATGTGGAGTCATGGCCTATAATACATTTAAGTAAAAAAAAAAAGTATGAAATTTTGATAATAACATGTTTCTCTTCTGCTTGACTGTTATTTAAAGCTAGTTGGATACAGTATTTGACTATATTTCATCGACTTTAGTGATATAGGTCTACAGTAGCATGTGTAACACACCGATAAAATTTGATCGTAAGTAAACTATTTAATTATGAAAACTGTAGCTTTCAAAGTACTTTTACTGAATTAAGAAACGAAGAAAGTTCAGTTATTTAAATACTTTAAAATTGGCAGGGTGTATATATATATTTTCTTAAATAATAGTAATTCAACCTTGTTAAAAGTTTTAAAAAATAGTACTAAAAATAAATAGTAGTAATATAAATTTTTTTCATACAAGAAATAGTTAATTTGATCATGATCAACTAACTATCATCAATTTGATAGTTAATTGATCATGAGAGATGCATGTTTCATTATTTCACAATGTACACTTGAATTGCGAAAAATTATTAAAAGCATTTTGAAAAAGAAAAGAAAAATAATCGTGTCGTATTTTTGAATAAAGAGTAAATTTCATACTTACGATATGACGAGGCTTGTTTGCGAGACAAAGTCTAGAGTGTTCCTTCATTACTTTATCTACTTCAACATAAAACGACCGCATGTAATGATCTGTTGGTATTGCATCGAATCCTTTCAGTCGGTATGTAAATATACCAGTGTATGGACAATCTTCAGCATAGGCTGTTACATACCCACTAGCACTGAAATTCTTCCACGCAAATGGATACACATTCACGAAGTTTGCGTCATCCATTCTTTTTCTAGTTTCTGGAAGCTCCTGTTCTGTAAAGCTAGTCAATATTGGTATAAGAGCTTGAGGAGTCCCATCACCCACAATGTTGTACCCTTTCATCACGGAAGCCTTCAGAACCTCCGTGAGGTACCTATACGTCCTAGGCAGCTTTCTCATATAATGCAGTCTCGACATAGAGTCGAGACCAAACATCAAAATATTGAGCTTCATTGCAGTTTCTGGAGGACTCAAGCCTCTCACTCGTTTTAGAACAGTTTCGTTTTTGTAGACACCCGCTATGATATTTTTCCATTCAACTCCGTCTAACGATTTGCACTTGGCGTGGAAGAAATCACTTTCCAACTTGGCTTTGTTTCTCTTAGAAGACAGATGCACTACGTTGCCTTTCACAGAGGAGAAATCGTCCACCCTCCTTAGAAATGTTAATTTGCAGTCTACTTTGCGATATCGCTTGATGATGATGGCGTTGATTTTTATAGTTCCTTGGTCTACGTCGATCCAGTCCATTTCTCTCTTGCAGTCAATTTGACCAACGTCTTGAATGTGTCTAAATAAATTAAAATCATGTTTTATAAGTTATGTGAGATAAGTCGTACAATTTCAATATTTACTATACACCAGATAGCAATATTTTTTTTGACAGGAATATTTTTTTTTCTGTATTGCAACATTGCATTAAATTAAATATGAATTTGTCACTTTCTAACAGCACAAGTTCATTTTTATAGCATAGTGTTTAAAAGTGCGGGCAATATAGATCCTAAGCACTTTTTATATTTTATTTTATTATTTTATTTTTTTTTTGGACTTACCGAATAAGAGAAAAATATTTTAATGTTACAAAATAATGCAGTTTCACAAAACTTTCAAGTTCTATTTTTAAAAGTATAGCACAACTAATATAATTGATGACTAAATAGTAAAAGAAGGATAAAAATTATCTACTAATTTTATTGCTGTTACTCAATTGTTTAAACGAACAATGTTCTTAAGGAACAATTGATAAATTAATTTTGATAAAAATGAAAATTGTAAAAGTTTTTTCTCTCCTTCTTAGCTTACTGCGCATGCTTTATTAAGAAAAATTTCCAATTTAAATTTGCGTTCGGTTATCTAGTGAATAAAAAACATTTAACATCACGCGAGAGGTCAATTAGTAGTTTAATAAAATGTAAAAATTTATGAATTTTATATTTGGTGGACTACGTTTTAGATTATTAACATAGCACTAATACTGCAATAAATGATACAATATTAAATAAATGAAAGAAAAAATTATTATTAATTTTATAGTTAATTGCAAATTTAAAAGAAACCATTAAGAGACCCTTACCCACGCCATTTTGAATTTTAGGTTAAATTTTTATATTTGGTTTTCTTAATGTTTTTTCTTACTCAAACTTTTGATGACACTGGCAGCACATTCGGCAGCACACTGTCTTTCAAAAGAGTTAGAAAATAAAGGGATCGCTTTATTAGATTAAGAGGAATAGAGCTTGATAATTTTTAGACATTTTATGAGATTTTCCTTAAAATTTTAAAGCAATAAAAATCTGTGGTTTTGAATCACTAATTTAATACAACACGTTTGTCAGGTTTTAGTTTTTTTTAAGAAGAAAAATGCTGTTTTATTACAGTTTAAAATGATAAAAATAGATTTGGATGGTTCTTATAACGTATATTGCGCAAAAACAGAGATGTATATCAAAAATTTGAAAACAGGCACTTGTATACTTCTGAACTACCTTTCAAAAAATGCTGATTGCAAAACTGTGTTGGTATAATTTCGTCCCAAAAATCTAAATTACCGCATTCTTTATATCTCAAGTTCTGATTAGGTGACATTTTACGTGTATCGAAAGATAATGCCAAATAAAGTAAATATTCATCATCAGTTTAGTTGTGAAAGTTAAAAGGATGATAAGGCATATTTAGAACTTTCCTTCCCCGTGTCCACCCCATCGACAATTGCGTTCGATCGGGAGAGGAAGGGTCTCTTAAATTTATTAAGAACAAAAATTGCTAAATGTGATCCACTTTTCTCATCCTTTTGTTGACAGGGCAAGATTTGCATAGAAAAATTGTATTTACTTGAGGATGATGGGATTTTCATAGTCGAGATCCGGATGTCGACAAGCTTGCTCTTCGTCTGCATCGATGTTCTGAATGCTTTCCAGAGATGGTGACCTGTACCACATAGACCAAATGAAGAGGTGAAAAAACAGCAGGGCAACAAACGTTAGGCCCATCAAGGCCGCGAATTTAATGCGCACCACACGCATAACATTAGCCGTCACCTGCAACAGTTACAACCTTTTACAACAGTTACAACCTTTTACGATAATACTGAAGATGATCACCACTTTACAAAACGATATAACATAAAAAAAAGACTAAATGCTAAAGACACAAAAAAGAAGAACTCATTAAATGTTCGTTAGATGAATGTGCAAATAAAATGTTAATTCACGTTAACTAAATGTCACGTTCTTAGGTCGCTTGTCACAGCTACATTGCCCACTTATTGTCTTTATCTCAAAGCCGAAGTTATTTAAATTGTACAGAATTTTATAGCTCATTAACATATCATTTGAAAAGAAAACTAATGAATACTAAATAAAGGTAGAGGGTGAAAATGCTTTAACAGCGATATATCGACTGTAGGTTAGTTCATTTATTTTTCTGCAACAAAAATAAACGATTTTTTAATAAATATTTTTAAATTCAAATAATTTTCAACTATTATTTAAGAAAATAACATAAATCAAACCAGATTTCAGAAACTGCATTTATTAAAGTAAGATAATTCTTATTGCTTGCTATAAGTAATAGATATAACACGCCGACCGAACTGTGTAGATGTCAGGGAACTGACCTTGCATCAGAAAGGTTCTGGGTTTGAATCCCGGGCTGAATCCATGGTAATCCCTGGGTTTGAATCCATGGATGTTCTTTCCATCTCTGTCCTTACTGTGAGAGCAACGTTGGCAAACCTAATATGATGTCTGTATGACGTAAGGTCATTCTCCAGGTGGGCATTGAAAAAAAAGTTTTTATTTCAAATGATTTTCAAATTGTGCAAGAGAATTATCATTACGTTAGAGCCATCTTCGAAAATTGCAATTGAGAATGAGACAAAGCCTCAACTGTTTCAAATCAGTTTTATGGAAACTATAAAGCGATCGCGAGGTATTTTTCTTCTTCTTTATTGTGGTGATAATTTTCTTTCTAAAAATGGTTTTAGTGCAAATAAATAATAAAAAGCCACCTAAAAGGTAAACAAATAATAAAAAAAATTTACATTTTTGTACTAAATACTGATTTTATAGATAATTTATAATAGTTTAAAGAAAAGGTATTTATATAAAAAAAAAATGCAGTTCGGACTCGAAAAAATATCTATTGATTATTACCTTAATAATATAAAATTATTGAGAGTTGTAACAACTAATAAAAAATATTAGAGAAATTTTAATTTAAAGTTATTCACAACTCTACATTGCTTGAAAACATAGAATATTTGATGAAAGTAACTTGCTCTTAGATATCTTTTAAATTTTACAAAGTAAGGTAACTGAAAAAAAAAATAAGACAAAAATAATTCTGAAAAATTTCATCTACTTTCACTTTACTGAAAATGGCGAAAATATTCTTGATAAATACACGAAGTATGGTCAAAAGTTCGATCTCTCATGAAATCAATTACTGGTTTGTTCACAAAAATGAATAAATAGAATTAATAAAATAGGTAAATTAATAAATAAAAATGAAAAAAAAAATAACGCAAGGGCATTTACGTTTACAATTAGACTGGTTACTACTATTTCCCTGAAAACAACTTCCTTAGTTCTAATTTATACTATTCTATAATTATTACTCTCGTTAAAATGGATGAAGGAAAAAAAATTATACTTACTGATTTATTTAGTTTCATGAATTATTTGAAGGATTAAGTTTTATAAGTTCTTCCTATAACTAATTGGTATAATTATTAATTAAATATTTTGTAATATAATTAAAAAACTAGCTTTTTCTTAATTAAAATATTTTCTTTCGCTGATTTCGAACTTGGCTCCAGCAAAATGGCGTAGAATCTGAATTCAGTTCAAATTAAAAATATATTCACTGGTTAACCTTTAAGAAGTAAATATAAGCTAACTTCGTTGCATGTCACTGATAATGAGCAGTTAAAAATTCTAATGATCCAACCTATTATTCGCTGACACATTATTTGAACAACTAATGTAAGACAAATATTCACTCGTCCCTCGAATGATAGTTTTATATTAATCATCAGCTGATAATGCGTAAAAACTTTGAAAAACTATTAATTCACATTAAATCTGGTGAAAATGATAAAAAAGATAAGAAAAATTACTAAAAAAAGCGTAATTTGACAGAAAAAAAAGTAAAGTAAATACAAATAAACACTATCTTTAGTGTTCGATTAATAAATTAAAGCAACTAACATGTTCCAATTGTAACTCTTTTAGGAAACATACCAAAATATGACAAAAAATAAACAATTCGATATTTTTCAAGAGATAAAACACCAAAATACTGACAAGGAGGGAAAGGTAGAGTTGGGTGGGGTGGAGTAAGACTGGACTTTCATTTATATTTAAAATATGGGGCAGTATCTAAGGACTAGTTTGCTAAATTTTATTCTTGTTGGAACAAAGCGCTCAATTTTTTTTTCTAATGCTAGTGACTTTTGCTGGCCTACAACTTCATTGAATCAAAAATGAGTTTCACTGAGAGTTTATTGTACATTCTTCATAAAGATAGAAACAGCGATATTTATGTACCAAGTGTCAGTTCAGGGGGGAAACTTATCAGGGTTAAAAGGACGTATCACATTTTTTCAAAGATAATGATAATAAAGTAACACTACCACAAGAATATATTACGTAAATTATGACTGGTTTTTACACAGATTACTTAAGAATATGCCTATATTTTTTAAGTATGAAACGTTTAACTGTTAGTACCTAAAAAATGATAAAATTAAAATATTCATGCTTTAAGTTCTTTTTAAATCGAATTTTCTTTAAGAGCAAACGACTCTTGAGGGATTGCACATTTCAAAGAAAGGCATAAACTGCTATAGGTAAAGGAAAAATTGTTTCCTGTGCTCTTTTTACACTGATTCAAATGAAAGTTGACATGAATCGATAGCACTTAATTCAGAAGTTGTAAAGTTTATAAGCCTAAGAAAGTACAATTTTTAACATTTAAATCTATATACTTTTCATACTATTATATCGAAATTATATAGACAAGTGAGAATTATTTTCTGCTCTGAGAATCATACTTTGTATTAATAAAACCCTTATTACTTCTAAACTATTAATCCAATTGGCTCGTGTCTCATTTGATTCAGTGAAAAGATTATCTAAGAGAACATTCGATATAGTTATGATATAGCGATGTAAAAAGTGTTCATAAGTTTTAATTTCCTCCAGTAGATAGTTTCTAAGTAAAAAACAATACTTTTCATACGAAAAAAACCCATACAACTTCTGAATAATTATTTTTCTCCACTCTTATTTGGTCACAGATAAGCCTAGAAATACATTGGAAACATTATTTCATTTGTTTAGACGACAATTTACGATGCTTAAATAGATATAAGTACACAAAACCTTTATAACTTCTAAACTATAAGTTCTTTTGTTGTAGAACTTACTATGTTTGGTGTATCTTGAGAATGGGCACCTTTATCTCAAGTGCTCCATGTACGTCGAAATCTTTCAACTTAATAATTTTTGAAGCTAATCAAGCTTTCCCACTATCAAATAATAACAATAATTTTTATTCTATTATCGTTAGACTTGAAGTGCAGGTGCTCCGTAGAATAACCAGAATACAACATCAATTCCAAGATAACTTTCAACCTAATGCTCTTTTTAGCATTAGTCAAAAAAGAAACAAATTCTTTTATATATTTGTATTAGCAAGGTTATACTATAATAATAACAATACCGTTGTAAGTACAGTGGGTCCACTAAGTTATAGTACACTTTTGACAAGTGAACAATCAAAAGTGAACCATGATTCTTCGGACGTATATAACATGTATAATATCATATAACATGTGTAGATACATGTATAATATCCAAAATAAACGGAAAATAATTACTAGTCACTGCCTACGAAGCACAGTAAAAATAGCTTTAAGATAAGAGCCATTAGTTTCACCCAAACACCTTCTCAAAGAATGAGCAAACTATTATAACAAGTCCGATTACGATAAATTTTATATCGTTACATTCGAATAGGCCAGACAACTTTCCCACTTCTCATAACAGTACAGAAATAGAAAGTTATTGTTTCTCTATGAGATGCCATTAAAAATTCAACTTCTCGCCTAAAAGTGTCTGATACAGCAACAATATACACATATAAAATAAGCGCCAGAAGCAACATTGTTAGAAGATAAGCTGCATCAATAGGCTCATTATCAGCTGCATACTTACCTGATTATGAACGACATAATTGGCCGGACACGACTAGAACAGAGAAAAGGTATTAATAATCTAGAAGACACCGTCTGTGTTTCGTTCCGGCACTCAATTTGCCCTGGACTGGCAAATGTCCAAAACGGACGATAAGTTTCTTCATTTAATTTAACAAATGTTACATGACGTTTATTGTTGTAGGAGAGAAAATCGAGTGTCCTTCTTGGAGCTTAATGAGATTTTGCCCCAGAAGCAGGATTCCATGACAATTGATCGTCTTATTATAGGAATGGAGATGAATTTTGCACTTGACGCGTGTTTTGTCCACTTGATTTATTTATGGAGACATTTTTTGATTCGAACAGTCCATGCATATTGTGTGTTGTATGATTTAATATTATCGATGATTGTTCGAATCATGCTGCTCGGTTATTTTATGGTAATATCTTAGTGGTAATTTTTTTTCCCCAGTTGATTGTTACATCGCTTAATTTCATGAAGTTGTTTACTATCTTATCACCTTGTAAATTTTGCTTATGATATATGATTCGGACCTTGTCATATTTTATTCTTAAAATTGCTGTTCTAAGCTTTGTATGTTTAGACATTTTTTTGATTCGAACTGTCCGTGTATGTCATGTGCTGTATGATTTAATATTATCGATGATTATTCAAGTTATGCTGCTCGGTTATTTTATGAACCATATCTTAGTGGCAATTTTTCCCCCAGTTGATTGTTACACCTCTTAATTTCATGAAGCTGTTTACTATCTTATCACCTTGTAAATTCTGCTTATGAACGGATCTTGTCATATTTTAATATTAAAATTACTGTA